GCCCGCTGCATGTCCTGACGGCGCCGCATCTCGGTTGGGTTGAAGGAGCACACATCCATCCCGACAAGTGCTGTTTATGAGTGTGAGCAGACAATTTCCGAACAGAAAAGAAGGACGCACGATCTGCGGCATAGTCGACCTCAATTGATTCATGCATGATGGGCGGGAGGACGATGGCCTTGCGAGCAGGGTCGCGGACAAGTTGGTGGATGGGCTCAAGTGCAGTAACATTCTCGCCCATGTTGAGCGTCGCGCGAGTCTGTCGCCACTGCACCGACTTTTTGTGGTGCCGTTCGAGCTGCTCAGGGAGCTTGAAGTAGAGCCGCTTTGTCGAGTCCAACTCGGCAGGCGATTGCGCAACAACCTGGCGATTCCAGAAACGGGCCAAGTCCACGTATTTGGTGACTTTATGGATGTTGTCAGGAGATGTGTGAGCGTTGAGCGGGATGAATGAGGCAATGTTTGCCTGGAAGAATTCAAACTCCCGGCGTGTGTGAACAGGTACCACAGGAGTTGTTGTGCGTTGGCGGAGCTGGATGTAGTGGTAGAGGTTGACCGGCTTTGTAACAAAGCGCACAAGGGAAGAGCGAGGAGTGTCATGATGGTGTGGGCGGGCGACGATGTCCGGGAATGGGACTGTGAGGATCTCGTAGTCGACAGCAAGTTCGTTTGTCAGCGGAATAACACCAAACGACTCGGAGGTTGCAATTCGAGTTGCAAGGAGGGAGGGAGTTGAAAAGGTGGTCGTTGTGTCCAACTTGATTGCGGTCTCGGTGATCTCGTCAAGTAACCACAGGTCAAAGTGGTTGTTCCACCTTAAGCCAGTGCGGTTATAGTGTCCAATCTGCAGATGTATATCAGAAAACTGGAAGTACCCAGCAGAAAAACTAGATCATACCCGACGATTGCGCCGATGGAACCAGTTTGCCAGGATTGCCTCTGTTAGGGCCAACGATGCATGGAGGGAGCCAAAGATGCGCCGAATCTGCTTGTGGACCCCACCCTCGACCGAGTTGGTGCCACGAATAGTGCGATAGAGATTCAGACCATTCTTGTCGCAACCGACCAAGAAGTAAAGGGCAAGGCCAGCTGGGTCCGAGAGGAATCCGAGTCGAGCAGTTTCGACAAGGGCAGCAGCCTGCTTTTGAGCTTCTTTGGAGAAGAACTTTTTGCCATCAGCATCTCGGAGGTCCTGGAAACAGGTGAATAGCAGCAAAAGATCCTGAACGAGCTTCTCGGGGCAGGCAATATACCGACGGATTCTGCGGTTGAGTGAATCCTTCCGAGCTCGTATCGCATACTCCCACCGAATGCCCTTTTGCTCCAGGATGGCTCGGACCTTGGCCTCGTCCTCCGCGTCACGAATAAAAATCGTTTCGCTGAAAAGATGGGAAAACTCCTTAAACGCAGGGTGCTTCTTGGAGAGGAGGCGAAGGAGACGGTCCATGAAGTGGTAGGCGTCGTCAAGAACACGACTGTCAAGCTTGGTCGCCATAGCAGGCTGCCGAAGGACGTTTTGAGCATGTTCGATAGAGTTGGTGAGTAGAGTCTGGAGATCGGGTGTAGCGCTAGTATTGGAGTCCACCTGTTCGATGTCAGCGAAGGCAGGTAGCAGAAGCTAAGCGTACCACAGGATCATTCCCGTTCTCATTCTCGTCCTCGTCCTCATCTCCAGGAAAAGCAGAGTCAGAGAGGATACAGGAGCTGACCTCTGCAGCAACCTGGTGTGGATCAAAATGCGGAGGTTGTTGGAGTTGCTCAACAACGGAGGGTATGGTGATGGGAGCCGCAATGCCAAATGAGGCATCCTCGGTGGACTCGGTTGCAGGATGAGGAGACTCGGGAGCACGACTGCGCAGAGTGCGTGTCTGAACAACAGCATGCCCACCATTTGTGTTGAGCCACTCCAGAGTCTGCCCATGTTTGGCGACAAGGAAGCCAGGTACAAGGACCTTCGTCAACTTGATGACGGAGTAGGCAGCGGTAACGGTCACCGCACCCTCGGTATTGGGAATACGAAGGGAGCCATCGTGGGCCACAAGCTCGCCCCATGCTTGCGTTTTGTTGCCAATGACGAATGCCACTAGCTGCCCAGCAGACAGCTGGCTCGGCTGTAACGGAATACCTACCGAACCGAGCTGCATGAGTGCAGCCTGAATGAACCACGCACAGTCAACAGGCAGAGCTAGGCTACTGACCTGGGTCGAGACGGGAAGTGAGGACAAATCAGGCTGGATGAGTTGGACGGCCAATACTGCGCCACAGAGTGTGGCCAGAGTGCAGTTTGGATCGCTGGCAGCGCCCTTGACCTTGGCAAGCTTGCCGAGGTCAACGAGGCTGGCGGGCGGAATTGTAAGGCGCCACGTAGAGGAGAGTAGCTTGGCCGCTGAGCTGATGTCATGCCCAAACTTGATGATACGTGGATGTGTGAGCACTGAGCGTAGCGACAAGGGGAGGACGGTCTTGAAGTTGGTCGTCTAAATCTTGCAAGTCAGCTTCAGTCAACAAAGCTCGAACAGGACAACGTACATCAATGACATAAACAGCGGACTTTGTTCGAAGCGAGAGGGCTTGTACAGTGTTGCCCCGTTGAACAACAGAAAGAGCGGTGTAGAGAGAGTCGACATCTGGGAGGGATTGAATGATTGTGTCGCAGATGGTCTCGACACGCTCAGATGTACTGGCAAACTGCGGCGTGAGCGACAGCTTATACTCCGGGAGATCACGGAACGGATTGAGGACGATGTGCTCGACATTCTTCTTGAGCGAGGCAGTCACTGACTCGTGCCAGTTCCGTTCATCTGCGTCTGAGTTAGCGAGAGTAGTATGGTCACATGATCAACTCACGACGCGGGTTGTCTGTATAAAGTACCTCTGTCGGCGTGTTTCCATGACGTGCGAGCTCGGTCTGAACACGCTCATACGTCCCTCGCAGCGGGGCAAAGCCCTGCGTCAATACGAGGTTGTAGAAGCGAACCTCCTCGTATTCGTTGACACCCTCGTACAAGAGCGGTGTGGATTGGCTCGCCTCCAGGCAGACGACCTTGGTGCTCAACAGTCTACACAAATTTGTCAATCCCCAGAAGAGAGACAGGCAAGAGCAACACATACTTTGAAGGTGTGGTCGGCTCGTAGCACTCGAGCAGGCAATGATGACATGATACGGTCCATATATAAGCGGTGGGCGGCGAACCATGCAATAAACATGCTCTTGAGGTACTTGGTGGATGGTGCATAGCCGGCAAAGCGCATTCGGTCCCTGAATTGCGAGAACGAAGGGATCTGCGTCCCGCGCAAGCCATAATGCATGGCTGCGTGCAGGTACATGGCCTCAAGGCGGCTATGGCGTAGACGCTTGAGCTCGCCCACCATCTTGGAGAACGGATCTGCGCCGAATCGTCCAGCGAACGTGACTTTCATCATGTCCATCTGCGACAAGTCGAGCGCGGACCGGTGGCTAATCGCCACTGAAAACCATTGAGCATGAAGAGTGAAGCATTAAGCAACAAACACACCAGGGAAGCGGTCTTGAACGAATCGTGGTAGCTGAGCGAGAATCCATGGATCGGTTCCTTGGTAGGTGTTTCCGCATCCTCGCCGGTTTCCCTCGCGATTGGGGCAGTAGAACCGCCGCGTGAGCAGGAAATAGTCCGACCCAGATGTGGTGCATACACGTCGTGCAATTGGATTTGAGTTGAAGCCTGCATACAAGTCAGAAGTGTCTTAACTGGAAAGGAACGCAAAGACACACCGTGTTTGTTGAGCTTCTCTCCACATTCACAGTGAAAGTCGTCGGGATGACCAGGCAGATGCTCGGGCAGCCAAAGAAATATTGGCAGGAGGTAGAGCCCATCGGGAGTGAAGACGCCCGTGGTTGCAGCGTCGTGCAGGGCAAAAATGGGGTCTTTAGGATGAACCCACAACTGCCCGTCGCGGTAAACGCGGGGCTGGCCAAGCAGCTCGATCTCCTTCTGCACCTGTTCCAGCGTTGACGCAAGCCACTGGTCGTTGACCGACTCGCACGCCGTTTCCGCAGCTGTCTGCTCGGAATCCAAGTTGCTCTCGTCGTTCTCGTCACCCACATCCGCTTCATCGTCCAGCAATCCCACCCCTCCATCTCCCTCTCCATCCTCCTCGATGGTCTCGTCGAATACGCGGTCCGGAATTGACAACGCAGCACCAGCGGCGGCAATGTCGGTTTGAAGCTGCATGACAGCATTGGTCGCGGTTGTAGACGCGCTGGAGTCGAGGTCTGGGTCATCCGAGTCAGAGGGCACGTTGCCAGAGCACACAGAAACGCACCGGTGGGTCCCTCGGTGGACGTTGCGTCTCCAGTCTGCGGCATGCCCGTAGTCCAAAAAGTTGGCGATGCCACGACCGACTTTCGAGAAGCCGGAGAGAATCCGGTCCGCGGTCTTTCGCTTGGTCGATGGATTGACCGTGTCCGCGCTTGCGGCGGAAGTACGAGGGCCGGCGGAAGGTGCAGAGGGAGGTGTGGACGGTGCAGGCTCTTTGGGTTTGTTTTTCGAGCCTTTCGGTCGGCCGGCGCCGTTCCGGCGACCACCGTGGTTGCGGTCATTGGGTGCCGTGTCTCCCGCCATGTCGAGAAGCAGCAGAAGGCCCGTTGGACGTGGGGAGAGCTCGCTGTCGCGCGGAGATGGCTTAACGATGGCTTATCTCGCGTGACACAGGGCTGTGCTACCATCAATCAAGTGGCTCATGCCCGATTTGGCATAAGCCAGCAACGGCCTTGGCTAATGAGCCTGATAAACCGAGAACAAACCACAACTCAGACTATTTGTCTTGCCTCTCACATTCGTTTTATCGGAAATTTTAGAGGTATGGTTGAGCTGGCCCTAACTGGGCACGGAGGTACATCCCTCGCTTACGCTTCGGCTTTCTTCGGGCCCCAATCAAAAACCACGTGCATTGCTGACTACTCGATCATTTGTGCGTTGCTTCTCCACCACCATCATTGAACCCTTGACTGATGTTCCAGTATGCACTCGTTCCAACCAGTTCAGATATGCTTACGGTTGTCTTGTCCGGTTTCGTTCAGTCCCAATGGCTGCGCTATAACTTTAATTCGATTCAAGCAGCGTTGGCGTTCCCCACAGTCTGATCTGATTGTGCATCGCATCGCGAATTCTCTGGTGAGTCTCCCTTTGATAAGAATTGAGCAAGGCCTATCATCGCAGTTGAAGGGCCATCATGTTTCCGCAGACCTGCGACAATTCACGCTCTCGAGGTTAAAGCCGGTCCGGGCGATGATCATAACTGCCAGCTATCTCCGTCGTGATCCTCCTCTGACACCGTGCATTCCCGTCTTAGTCTTCCTTCACCACCATATGGTCGTATGGCTTCGCCAGTCGCCTCAACATCCTCCTCAACCAACCTTCTACGCTATGCAGTCGCCAAATCGCCACACGTCGACCCATTCAATGGCAGCTCTTCCCGCGACTTTTGCAACTCATTTTGGGGCGAGGGACATGCGGGGGGTGGATATACTGTTTGCGCGAATGCGAGGAGCCATAAAAACGACAGATGACCTCCGCAAATTCTGGCAAGAACGGTGTGCCATACTTGGATCTATGGGTGAGCTGAAGCTAATTGAATGACTAGTGCTGTTATTGAGGAGGAGTACGCGAATCGGCTGCTTGAGCTGGCGAAAGTACGGTTAGGGAGGGATGAAATCGGGTGAGTTTACTGTCAATCGTTCCGTCTTATCGTGCTCAACACTACGGAAAAGCGATCTCCGCAACTCTCTCGATACCCTCCTGCTCGAAACTTCCCAACAAGCAACAGCTCACCTCCAACTGGCGACGCAGATTCGTACTGGCTTTGAAGCAGCGACAACCGATCTTCTCAAGAAGCAGATATCACATCGGAAACGCTTCCTCACCCCACTCGAGAAACGATTTGCGGAGAAGCAGACGGCCGAAAGGGTGTTAACTCAGGCACGAGACAAATACGGAGATGAATGCTCAAGGGTAGCAGCATATAGCCAACAGCTGCAACAGCCAGCCACGCCTGCAACGCCACATTACCCAGGCAAACACATTGATCATCTCCACCCACGCGCGGGACCCGGATTGAAGCGTGCTCAGCTGGCTGTGCAAGTTGCCGAACAAGCCATCGCTGAAATGACACGAGCGATGCTAGATGGAGATGGGGGGCCTAAGTGGGAGAGGGATTGGAAGGAATTTTGTGACTCGAGTCAGGACATGGAAGAAGATAGGCTGGACACCACGAAAGACGTTATCTGGAATTACGTCGACGCTGTGTCGACCTTGTGTGTCTCTGATGATCAGGTACATCATGGTCTAAAAGTTTTACTTGACTCAGCTTTATCAGGCTTGCGAGCACGTTCGAACGGCATTGGACCAATTGGAGCCAGAGGTGGACATTCTGGGCTTCGTGCATGACTACGGAACGGGGAATAGCATTCCCCAACTCAACTCTTCCAAACAACGTCACTCCCAGTACTCTCGCATTTCAACGCGGCCCGCCCCGCAATACCAGTCAAACCAGAACTCACCGAACAAAAAAGACGTATTCCACCGGCCCCGCGAAGGCACAGTCAATGTTGAGGCGGCTACCGCCAGGCCCATTGTCGGTGTTCCCGTTCTGAAGACACCAGTGCCTTCCTCGTCAAAGAAAACGAATATCAATACTACCCAACCACAACCACAACCACAACCACAACCACAACCACAACCACAACGGCTATCAGGACCGCTTCCCGCGCGACCAGCAACAGCATCATCCGACCCCGCGCCACTACAACATGCGCCGCCTACGCCAGAACCACCAGAAGGAAAGGACTCCGAGCGCATCTTGTTCTATGGTCCGTCTCCTTGCGAAACAGCACAATCCCCCACTGACTAACAAATTTTAGTACAAGCATTATATGAATATCAGGCCACTTCTCCTGACGAGTTCAACTTCCAACCTGGAGACATCATCGCAGTGACCGCGACCCCCCCAGACGGGTGGTGGATGGGGGAGCTCTTGGATGAAAGGAGGAGGGTCAATGGGCGAAATGTGTTTCCGAGCAACTACGTGACATTGTTTTGAGTATATCTTTATGCTACTTAACAGACACTGAAGAAGAGGCGGGTGGCCTGAGAGAGGAAGCCTAAGTACCATACGTTTTCTAGACATGAGGTTTGAAGACTTAATTTTTGAACCAGATGGGACTGAAATCCCATCAACTCAATATTCAAAAGGGAATCTACTTCAAGAATTAACTCTCTGTAGTCATTCTAAACAGCTCAAGGGTATTCACTGTTGACAGCAATTATACGTCTACCTCTATTATTAGCCCTGGAAGGCCTCAGGCCCGACATCCACCCCAAAGCTACTCTTAGCCAGCCCACGCACACTCCGTTCTATCTCATCCTCGAATCCCAAGCCCACAGCCCCCATTCCCAGCCATCTCCACGTCCACTGTCTCGCTTTCGACAGCCAAAACACGACATCAATCGAGAACATGAACATCCTGAAACGGGTGTAGTGCCAGTAGTCGTATAGTCGGACACGCAAGGCAGCGTTGCGGTCTCGAGTGAGCCCCCGCGAGGCAGCGAAGCCGGTGATTTTGATTCGATTGACCGGGGAGTTGAGCGCCTGATTGTTGCCTTGCACCATGCTGAAAAAAAAGAGTCAGAGTTACGCACGTATCAGGTAAGAACCGTACCGCATATTGCGCAACAAGAAGATGAGCACCTTCGGCATCCGATCAGTGTCCAGCAAGAAGCCCTTCAGCTGCGCCTTCATCATCACGCTCCGCTCGTAGTTGGTCATTTCGTCAATGGGCTTGCGTTTCGGCTTTGTCGGGTCCGGAGGCGGGCGACCACGGCCGAGTCTTGTTGGTCGCATAAGAACTGCACTTGCAAACAGGTCTGGCATCCCGACACCCCACTTCCGCGTTACCCGTTCGACAACAGACCACTCCCCCGCCAGCATGCCCTCCCAGATCGAACACCAGTCCCTTCGGAAGTCTTCAGTGAGTTGGACGTAGAGGCCGTGGTCGAGCAGCACCAGTTGCGGGCGGCTGGGTCGTTGTGGGTGAGGCCTGATCAGCACATTACCGGGATGCGGATCACAGTGAACCCAACCCCAGCGAAACATCTGAGCGCTGAACAGCTCGACCATTGGCTCCATAACCCCTCGAGCACCGCCATGGAGAGCCCCACCGACAAGTCGCAGAATGCCCTGTCGGTCACTTAACCGGACTCCGTCAATCCATTCAGCGGTCATCACGCGTTTCGTCGTCAATTCCAGGTAGACTCGCGGGATATAGACTGTTTGGGATAGATCGGGGTCGGCGGCGACAAATTCCGCAGTTCTCCGTGCGTTATTGGCTTCCAACTCGAAGTCTAACTCGCGGCGAAGATGCTCGGAGATGAAGTCGACGACAAAGTAGACCGGGAGGTCGAAGGCAACCTTCTCGAAGAGCCACATAACGATGCGGTAAACCCCCAAGTCCCATTCGGTTTGCTTTGCCACGTCTGGCTTCTGGATTTTGACCGCAACCCATTGTCCCTCTGTTTCTCCGGGCTCCGGCCGCAGTCTTGCTTTATGGACTTGCGCAATGCTGGCGCTGGCGATGGCTTTTTCGTCGAAGAACTCAAACACGCCGTCTGGACCGTCGGGAGGACGACCGAACTCTGATTTGAAGACAGAAAGGATATCGGAGTAGGGTATTTGGGGCGCATCATCGAAGAGTGTCCCGAATTTGACTTGTACAGGCCGAGGAAGAAACGCAGCATTGGCCCCGATCGCCTGGCCAATCTTGATGTAAAGTCCGCCATTGGAGGTGAAGAGGTTGAACATGACCTCTGCGACTCGTTCGTGCAACTGAGGAATTTGGTCGGACTTTTCAGGTGTGAAGTTGAGCTGTCCTCAGAGTTAGCCGAAAAAGGTCTGTTGCGAGGCTCCTGACCTTGTAATCGGCCGTTATTAAGGCGCACTGAATGGGGACTGTGAGGACACCATATAACAGAGAAACCGAATAACGCACGGCCCAGAGGGTCCTCAGGTTCCTCCCCAGCGCAGAGGCATTATAATTTCTGTCAACCGTGTACACCACGCCGACCCCGACACCCATAAAACCAACACGTCGCAAATAACGCTGCCATCGTGGGCGTGGCGTTGCCGTTGTCGATGAGTTACGTGAAAAGCGGAGTCCGGCACGCCATGTTCGTCCCAGCAGCATTCGGTCAAAGAGGGAGCATGGAGGAAAGTTGCGAGAGCAGGATGACGAGGAGTTCGGCAACCGGCAAAGGTGGAGTGTCACACGGTGACGCTTCCGTGACGATCACCTGATCACGACCAACCTTTCAAGTTCTCCAAGTTCTGACCACCCGTGAGTGGAACGTCTTGATCTATCGGAAACGTACCAACGGAGCGTTAAAACAGCGGCTAGTGTGCGCCTTTTCGGATCGGAAAACTTACTTCTTGGCTCATCAGGAACTACTTCAAATTAGCTGGAATGTTTACCCCCTTCCTTTGTCGACTACGTACCGATTCTGTCGTTCCTCGCCAAGATCGCTAATCAAACAATGGGGCACACACTCCCCGCACTCCCGCCACAATTACCATGGCAAACGCGCCGGATTTATCTGCGAAACGCGTTACTTCGGAGAAGTGATGCGGCGATGGTACATTGTCTTGCGCGCCTCGTGTAGACGGGCTAATTGTCGCGTACGAGGCTCTTCTCACACTACTTCCTCTTTTCTCACCGTATTTTGCAGTTATGACTGAGGCTTTTTGTCTCTCTCATCACACGTGACTTCGACGCGGTCTATTGTCTACAACTATGATAAGGCGCGCTCTGACCGTGCTATGGCCAAACATACACCGCACTCCAGAATCGACGAAATAGTGACCACCGGATGGCTGGAAACATGATCCATCTTCCTATCAACGTACAATTTCCGGTCCCTCCCAAGGTGTGCAACAAACATCCGACTATCATTGGAGAGTATTGACCGTCCTGTTAGACTCCTCTGACCCCACACCAACGACATGTCCCGAGAGTTCCTCTTGCTCCCAACAATCAACCTCAACGTAGACATCAACTGCCTGTTCTTCTCCCAAAAGCAGAAAACGACACGATGACCCCCGTTTCTGCACTCGCCCAGGCCAATGCGCGTCTTGTTCATGCCCGGCTTCGCCAGAACCATGATAGGCTGCAAGTTCAACTACATGCACCCACACCTCCCCCTCCCCCTTCGGCCCCTCAGCCATCGCCATCCAGCATCACCAACTTTCTCAGCAATGTCGTTCGGGCGTCTGCGAGCCGGCTTAATCGCGAGATACATCAGCTCAACGCTTTTTGTAATCGACTGTTGATGGAAGAGAAGGCAAAACTAGTCCAGGAAACAGCGGAGGAGCGACGGAAGCTGACACGAGAGCGAGACGAGGCACGTGCTGAAACAGAGAAGCTGCGTATTCTGTTGGATCGACGGAAGCGCTCTCGCGCGCAGTTCGAAATCCTCGAGGAAGAAGACTCTGATGCTGACGAACTCGAACTCCGGTATCCCGATTCGCCTCCTCCACGTCTTCTCAGCCCTTTTATTCTTGCAGCGGGTCGTAACCGCAGTGGTTCTCCCGATGGCACCCATTTCGATCTGACTATCACTGGTGATGCACTGCCGCGTCCTGCAAAGCGTCGTAGAGTCAGTCCAGAGCCAGCTATTCCCGTCTCCGAGTTTCCCGAGTCATTTCTCCGTGACACGCACCCACCATACAATCCGCATGCAAGTGACGGTGAATGCGATATGGATCTTGAAACGGATGTCGAATCTGACGGCGAGTTGACTGCCTGTTCTTCATTCTCGGTCTCCAAGCCCACATCAACTGTCGTCTCTCCCCCTGTCGCACGACCGTCGATTCAACAGCCTATTCCAATAGCACAGCCTCGGAATTGTCGGCGCTCGTCCCACCTAGGAATCGAGCATGTCGATATAATGTACTGGCCGACCGAAGGAAAGCTCGTTTGTCGCGCTTGTGTGTAAGTACTTTAGTCATCAACTACATATTTCGGTCTGATGGTTGATTAGACTCACTCCAAGTTCAAGTCCATCCCCGGCGGCTACGCGATCATCTCCAGCAGTCCACGCATTCCCTGTTGATGCTCCATGGGACATTCTTCGCTCTCACTGCGAGAAAATGCACCCGGAAGCCAGTGCAGATGTTGCTGGGCTGGACCGTGACTGTTTGCGGGAGTTGCGCCGGCGCCTGCGGTTGCCGCCCGCCCCGCCCACTCGGTGCTAAAGAAAGGACTATGTTCCCTCACTCGGCATTTGTTGCATCTGATTCATTCAAGTTGTTGCCCCATATCATTGCATGTAAATATCTTACTCTCCAGTGCTTTAATAGCCAACGCTCTTATATGTATCTGTACGACCTAGGCCTAAAAAAGATACTTATGCGTACCAGTCTAATTTTTGGTTGGCATTGCAAGTCGAAATCGTTGTTGACTGATAGATCAATGTCAGTCAGTGGCACGTGAGAAGATGTCCTTGTCTCCCTCCATCCTCCCTTCCTTCCAACTCTGGGCCCCTCGCTGTCCATGAACCGCCGACCTGTGCAGCAAGAGCTTCTGATACGCATCGTCACTTACCTGGCGTCACACCGGCGTCGGTGTTCCTCTCTATCAACTTCTGCGGACGCCCACAAGGCGGTTTGGGTAACCCGAACCCGGGGCCTCTGACCATAAATAACCTGACTCAAGGGACCGCATCATCTGTCATTGATATACCGAAGTAAATGCTGCAGTCGGTCGACTATTTTTGCCAAGGGAAAACACCGATTCTGAGGCCAAATTTAGCTGGATGTCCTCGGATTCTCTGTTACAAACCACTTGGATTAGTGCTCACGCTCCCGTGTCTGCCAGGATTTCGTAGCCCGGCCCCCACTATGGGTCTCGCCGTCGAGGCTATTTCAGGAATCAATGTGGTCTATCATCTACGCCGCTCAAATGGCGCTGGGTTTCACTTGCCCTGGGCTATGTATCGATACATCCAGTTGCGGGACACCTTGACAGCCTCTTCATTTCCTCTCAGACAATAACTACCGCCCGAATAAATTGCTTCGCTATAAAAAGGGCTCGCAATTCTACTGTGAAGCCACCACAGGCACCAAAATGCCTATTTTCAACTCACCCTCGCTCATTCTTTCTCTTTTGGCGGGTCTATCGACTGCTGCAGCCACAGCATCGACGTCCCGAGGCTGGGAGTTTGTCCAGAATGGGACCTCTGGTATCCTCGCAATTGAAATGACAATTGTCTCCCCGACCCTCGCCCTCCTCTATGACTTGTCGGGTACTGGCGCGCCATTGCAGATTAACAACCACTCGGCTTGGGGGGCCTTGTACGACCTCGAGACAAACAAGGTCGCTCCAATCGATGTGAAGTCCGACACGTTCTGCGCGTCGGGAGCCATCCTCAGCAACGGTAGCATGGTAAATTTTATTCGCATTTTGTTTTATTTCATCTGACTCCGAGCGCTTCCTAGGTCAGCGTAGGCGGTAATTGGATTCCAGGCTTCTCAACCGGCAGCAACGGGCTCCAGGGTTTGCGGATATTCGAGCCCTGCAAAACTTCTGACGGCCACGGCTGCACATTATTCGACAACCCGGCTACTGTCCACCTCGCTGTTCCACGTTGGTACCCGTCATCCGCCAGACTATATGATGGCTCGCTCGTAAGTGCCTAGACTATTCTCTTGATCGTGGACTGATTAGCGCGTCTAGATTATTGCTGGCGGTTCACTCAACTTCTCTCTTTTCTACAACGAGTTCCCCGAAAACTCTTTCGAATTCTTCCCCAAGAAAGACCATGGAGCTGTTCGACCCTCTCCGTTCTTAAAACGCGGTGGACCAGCAAACATGTTCCCTCGCATCTTTGCGCTGCCAGATGGCACAGTCTATATGCTTGCCGGGAATCAATCGATCATATATAACGTCGATACTGGGAAGGAAACCAGGCTACCAGACCTTCCCAACGGCGTCAAAGTGAGTATTTTAGAACTTATCGGTACCCAGATCATTGACTTTATGCAAGGCGACCAACCCCTTTGACGGGACTGCGCAGCTTTTGCCTCTCTCCCCTCCCAACTACACACCCGAGGTGCTCGTCTGTGGCGGCTCTGACAAGAGCGACTTGATCCCCCCGATCAAGTTGTCCAGCCAGGACCCTGCTTCTCACCAATGTAGTCGCATCACTCTCACTCCCGCTGGAATCAAGAAAGGATGGGTCGTCGAGCGTATGCCTGAGGCTAGGATGCTTCCCGAGATGCTCATTCTACCAACCGGAGAGCTCATCATCATTAATGGCGGACAAACGGGCTACTCCGCATTCTCGAGCAACTTGACGTCCATCAGCGACCCCGTCGGCAACTCCAACTCTGACAACCCAAAGTGAGTATAGCTTGCGATGACCTGGAAATACTGGCTGACGGACTGCTAGCTTCACCCCCACGCTGTATGACCCGAATGCGCCCGTTGGACAACGGATGATCAAGAAGGGCCTCCCAGCATCCAAGATCCCTCGGATGTACCACTCTACAGTTTCGTTGACACCTTCTGGGTGAGTTTTCTGCGGTTTATATCTGTCTCTGTCTTATCGGTCACACAGCAACTTCATGATTGCGGGATCAAATCCCAACCTGAACGTCAACACCACCGTCAAATATGCGACGTGCGTACGACATAGATTGGCCTGGCCGTGTTTGAACCTAACTATAGTGAGTTCCGCGTGGAGCATTTGAATCCGCCATACATGTCGCTGGAACGGCCCGTGCTTTCCCATGTGCCAAGCAAGGTGGCGTTCAACACACAATTCAGCGTCCAAATCAACCTCCCGAAAGGCGCGGGTATCTTCCCGACTGTCAAAGGTGCGTGAATTTGTCTGTAATCACTCAAACTGAAGCTCTCAAGTTGCCCTGATGGACCTTGGATTCTCATCGCATGCCTTCCACTCGAGCGCACGCTTGGTTTACCTTGATGCGAAGCTCGATTCGGACCACAAAACCCTCCACATCACCAGCCCGCCCAACAACAGGGTCTATCCCCCTGGTATTGGTGAGCTCTGCCTCTGCCAGGTTGTAGCTTGTGCTAACCTGATTTCCAAGGGTACATCTACGTCACAGTCGCAGACACATATGTGAGCAAAGGTGCTCAAGTCATGATTGGGTCGGGTGCCTCTCCACCAGTTCCCGATCAAGGGAAAAAAATCAGCTTTGAAACCATTAACTGAACCACCTGCGCGAGTCGCTCGTTTCTCTTATCGTACCTAATCAAATCATTGTAATCCTAATCTTATCGCTTATCACTATCACTCCGTGACGTCAGCTGTTTGACGTGTACCACTTTTTTCTCTCTCTGATCAACCATTTGCCAACTGTTGAACCGAATGCTGCGTCTTCTTCCGGGAAAACAACTGCGGGCGTTTGGGAAAGGCCCGTTCTTCCAATCAGCCCGCTGGCGGTCTAGTCAAAACCACGTTGTGTCCATTTCCGCGTTGCTGCTGAATCGGTCCGTGTGTCTTCAATTTTCGGAAGCTTCGATTCCAAGCTAACGAGTCTCGAGTCGACATTTACCTTCGCATCTCGACGCTGTCGCTCAGAATGGCGGCTCTGTCGCGAGACGACAACCTTACAGCACGCAGCCAGCCGATGGAGCACCAAATCCCAGCCCAATGGCTAATATGTCCGAAGAAGAGGCGCTACTGAGGATTGAGCGGATAGAAAGTCTTGGAGATGTATTCCACACCGTCCCTCATGACTCGCCGGAGCGCCTCGCTGCCGCCTACCTCCTCTTGTGTGAAGTGCTCGCCTACCTTTCGCGACATGGGGAGGAGGCGCCAGCGTATATCAGTGTGCGTCGACAACCGTGAATACTATTAGCACCAAACTGACCCAAATATGCCAGATTTTCACGAATACCGCCGTGCCTGCCGACTCCGACGTGGCTCGTGCCAGGAAAGCGATCTTCACAACAACAAAACTCACTGCGCAGATACTTGGGGCGGTTGGAGCGTCATCGAAGATCAGGGAGGCAAACGCCAGCGCTTTTGCACTGCACGGGGCCCTCGATGCGCTGTTTGTCAGCTACCGCGGGCCCAGCGACGACGGAGAGCTGCCGCAATGGGTCGATTTTTGGAATAGAGCTCAACCTATCGTGGTGGAACTTGCCCGGGTTTTGGATGATAGTCGGGACACTTTCATGGAGCCGCAAACAAAAAAGGATGAATGATATGTGCGTTGTTAGCTCGACTTAATTTAAATGGATCAACTGTTCATAAAGTGACTGCAGCTACCACCCATCACTTTCAGTAGCCATACCTTCTCAAGACGCTCTAAAACGTGAGGACGTCCTTCAATCCTAATGAAACTCCAACGAAAGCTTAATACTTATGGCGCCTCCTAGTAATGCCGACGTGTCACCTTCTCGTCGATACCTTCGAAACACATCGACGATTTGACGTCTCGCGGGTTGGCACCCGCACCGACTGGCAGGATTCGCCTCTTTGTTTCGCCGGTAATAAGTATCTCTATGACGGCGCTAACTTCCCGCCCTCGTTCTGATATCTCATTGCCTATTCAAAGCAAATGATCATAACAGGCATAAATTGCCAGTGGGACACCTGCTGAACAATTTTTTACTTCCTTCCTCTCTTCATGTCCGATCTTTCACTGCAAAGGGCGACAGTATGGGCTCTCGGGATACGCTACATACTTCTTTTCTGAAGCCTGCTAGCTGACTGCTCTGGTCATCGAAACATTCAATGTCGGTGCGTGGATTCCAGTCCAGGCATCCTGGGCCTCTGTGTAACCCGCGCCCACTGGCATGACTTAGGCGCTTTCACCATCCTCTTTGGCGCCTGTCTCCACTTGATTTTCATTAAGAAGGCCTCCGGCGCCAATCACATTCTAACTCCGACCCTGTGCTTGATATGGGTTCTTTCCATTGTGGTATGTTGACAGTGATCCCTGTCCAAAACGAACTGAGAAAACTTGAACTCAGCATTGGATTGTTGACATTGTCCGAGCTAGAATCGCATTCGTCGATGACCCTGCGCACGATTTGTTGTACTTGAGCAGTCCAGCCCAGCCTCTCGATGGTGCAAAAATTGGGATATACTCAACGATTACTATTGTCGCTGACTTTTTCATGGTGCGTATAAGCCACTGCTAAATGACACGGCTGTTGACTGTTCTCAGATATACCGTTGTTGGATGGTATGGAACCACAATGTCTATGCCCTCGCTCTTCCTGTGCTATGCTGGGTTGCAACCGCTGGTAAGCAGTGGCGGCACTCCGTTTATTGACTCATTTGTGCGTGAAGTAACTGGCTGGGTCGGGACGGCCGAGGTTGTGCTGACTCAGAAGGGCGGCATCTTCCACGCCAATCTTCAACCCTGGATCATTAGCTTCTTCTCATTGTCGCTCGCCACAAATGTTCTCTGCACGCGTGAGTCTATCATTTTTCTGGGGGCGAAGTACATGCCTGAATGATTTCTCAGTTCTGGTTGCTTACAAGGTACTTTTGAGCCAGATTCGACTGCGCAGAAGCGGTACTGAAAGCACGGGGCGAGTCATTCCCGCGTTGGTAAGAACCTATGTGCTTATATGCTTTATGTGCATGCTCATGGTCAAACAGATCATATTCCTCGAGTCCGCCGCTCTCTATTCTCTCTCGCTTATCGCGTTACTCGTCACCTATCAATTGGGAATCAACACCTCCTTCATCATCCTCGACCTGGTAGATACTCTCCATTTCACCAGTATTCATGTGCTCAGTCAAAAATGACATTGCACAGACATCTTCAGTTATTGGGATAACGTTCAGCAGCATTATTCTCCGCCTGTCGATGGCTGATTCCAAGCCATCTCAGTCCACCACAACAGCATCGTTGCCTGGTCGAGGGAACGTCTCCGGACTGGGTGGGATTGACCCAAACTCCTACCCACTGGGTACTGTCCATATCTCGCGTTTGGTTCGAGATGATTGGTCGAACCCCAAAGCGCGGCATTTAGAGAGTGGTGTACTACCTAGATGATACCGGAAATTCCCCAATGTGTTGGATTCAACGCAATCAACAGTCCACTAGCATGTTCCAGCATTCATAGTAACTTTTCACCCTCTGCCTGGCCGGCGCGAGAAAGCATTCAGTTTGCAAACTGTGGTCTTTACATAGTGGTTGTCCTTTTACAAGCCTCAGACAATCCACGCTGGTTCAGGTGTGTAAGAGACGCATAGAGGCCAAGTAGAGGCGGGATGAAGCACTTGATTCAATGATTGTGTTTGGTTGTGTTTAGTTGGACTGTGACGTCGAATCAAAGAAGCGGAAAACAATTTGCAAATTTGATCCTTCAAGTTGACCGTCACCGCAACTTGGACACGCCGGAATCGAACCCCTCGTCGAAGGCCCAGGGCCGTCTAACTGTTCAGAAGCCAGGGGCGGTGGCGTAAACTGCTGCCCTCGGGACGATGTGAACTTTTGCTCAAGGCCGCTCCCCGGTGAAGTTTGTGTGAGACTGTGAGTCAACGTCACGGTTATTGACTGTCAAAAATTGCCAGTCTCAGCGCCATACCTTGCAACTTTTGAAGCACAAAGCATTCTGTCTTTCAGGTCCTTCAAGTTGTGCGTGAAAGTAGAGGCATCAAGTATGTGCACTGGTATGGAATTCGATGGCATTTGCAACGGAGAAACGGACTAATAATATGTAGGTGTGTTCTCCGCAACACGATCGTCCCTCTCCCTCTATCAACTCCATGTCATCCTCACGTTGCCTTCTTTCTCTTTATTGTTACACTGAAATCCAACCGAAGACAGATTTAGTATTCCTGCCAGTGTCAGCACCACTCCCGGCGTCTTTCTTGCTACAAGTTGATAGCAAGCCGGATCGATGAGAGCTGCCAGTGCACGCCATAAATGGGACGGGGAGCTCCATAATTTCAGCGCCAGCCTCGGAGCCTCCTCTCCAATGCCAGTGCCAGATCTTTCTTTACCCACGGCCACGGTAATAACTCTCACTCTTATGCCTTGTTCTTGCCGAAGCTTTCTCAGCTGGCTGCTCTGGTCGTCGAAACATTCAACATTGGTACGAAATCCATCAATTTCATCGGGCTTATGTTTATCTGTGACTCGTGTAGGCGCCTTCACCATACTCTTTGGTGGATGTCTTTCCTTCATTTTCACCAAGAGAATGTCCGACGTCAATGGAGTTTTAACCCCGACACTCTGCTTGATTTGGATTCTTTCGATTGTGGTGCGTTTATCGGGATTGCCAGCCTCCATAGACTTACGAAAGGTCAGCATTGGGTGGTTGATATTATTCGAGCTCGAATAGCCTTCATTGATGATCCCGCAAATGCTGTCCAATACCTCACCGATCCAACTGTACCTCTTGATGGCGCAAAACTAGGACTATATGCATCAATTACTATTGTCGCCGACTTCTTCATGGTGCGCCGGTCACGTCCATATAACATAATTCCTAAGCTGTTGCAGCTTTACCGTTGCTGGATGGTATGGAACCACAATGTTTATGCCCTTAGTTTCCCCGTGCTATGCTGGCTTGCTACTGCTTGTAAGTAATGCCAAGCAAATTGCCAGACTAGCTCAAACATAATCCAAGCAACGGGTTGGGTCGGGACAGCTGAGATCATTCGCACTCAGAGGGGAGGCATCTTCATTCCCAATCTCCAGCCTTGGATCATCAGCTTCTTTTCGTTGTCTCTCGCCACCAACGTCCTCTGCACACGTGAGTTAGGTTATCGACTGCAACAATGTGCCCAGCTAAAGGGGCTCCCAGTTCTCATTGCTTACAAAGTCCTTTTGAGTCAAATCTATTTACGCAGAACCGGTACTCATTCAACGGGAAGAGTAATCCCTGCACTGGTACGTTGACCATTATGTGCACCGTACGCATTCTCATGGTCGCGTAAGATCATATTTCTCGAGTCTGCTGCTCTCTACTCCCTCTCGCTTATTGCGCTGCTCGTCCTTTATCAAACAGGACTGAGCATCTCGTTCATCATCCTCGACTGGGTATATCCACTTGCTTTCCTTGAACACTGGTCTGAAATAGCGTTTTCCAGACCTGTTCCGTCATCGGCATCGCGTTCAGCATCATCATCATCCGTCTGTCCATCATCAACTCGCGACTCAGATCAGCACAGTCCACCACAGCCGCGTCGTTGCCTCCTCTTCACACTCCGTCAAGCGGAAACTACCCGCTTGTCCGCGTTTCTCGTTTGGTCACCAGAGATGACTGGTCGCACAGACATTATTCAGAGAGTGGCAGTGGAGCAGAGGAGGACAGACTGGACCGTAAAACTTCTGATACAGATGTATAGTTTTGTATTTACAGTAGATAAAATCAACAATCCATTGACTCACATATTTTAGGACACAAGTCCTGGCGAGCGAGGGGGAATGAAGGAGACTGGAAGGAAATATTTGGTGGCCAAAACGACGACGTGACATCCACGTGACTACAACGTACCACCTTCCTTCCAAGCCTTCGTCCTTTCTTGAGCTCGACTCTGAGCCCAATTTCAGACTCAACCGATGCCAGCCGATGTGGAGTGGCTTGCGTCTCCGTCAGTGGGCGGATCAGCGCCCATGTTTTACTCTTCCCGACGATAGTGCCATACTCCCCTTTTTTTTGACGCCGCCTTCTGCCTCGAGGCGGTCCTCCGACACTCCCTCCTCATCTTCTCAAGACTCACATGGGGTCATTGAACTCGGAGGCCAATTCGTTCGTGAACTGTGTACTTGACACGCTCAACAACCCTACATCTACTCTCGACTCCGTTCTGCGACCCTTCCTGGATGATGAAGCAGAGCTCCGCCGCCTTTTCGCGACCGACAAGGCCAATGGGCGGCTGCAGGACCCCTTTGTTGGGCTAGTCGATGTTTTTGCGGCGCCAGATGCTATTCGGACGACCAGAGCTCGTGTCATTGTCGACGACACTGACTGGAACGCTAAACATGTTATGCCCTTGGCAACCGAGGCTCGTAGAAAGGACGGGTCAGCGTGCATGGTGGCTGACCTGGAGGAGTTTCAGAAGAATTGGAGCATGTTCTCCGAGGGCTCACTTTTCCAGTTACTCGACTGGAGCAATGTGGTTGCTGCTGGTGGTTCTGTTTTGGCGTGCTTGGAGCCATTGCCCGAGTCAGCGAAGGAAACGAGGCGGTCGATGCGCAAGCATTACCACTCTGCTGCCTACCCAACTTCGGATGTGGACTTGTTTCTGTGGGGTATGACACCTGAACAGGTATGTCATCGATGCAGTTATTCGTTTTTTTTCTGAGTTTCCCATCTCCAGGCTGAAGCTAAGATCCTCAAAATATACGAGGCTGTCCGCGATTCTGTACCATGGGATGTGACTTGTGTGAGGACGAAACACACCGTCTCAATTCATTGTGAGTTTTCCGTGACTACACGGACACACTGACCTTGTTCAAGGCCAATACCCCTATCGCTCGGTCCAAATCGTCCTCCGCCTCTATTCCAGCCCCGCCGAAATTCTTGCTGGTTTCGATATCGACGCACCTTGTGTTTTGTATAATGGCAGTAGGGTTTACGCCAGCCCTCGTGCTATCATCGCAATGATGCGCCAATGCAACACTGTCGATATGACCCGTCGTTCACCTTCATACGAAGTTCGACTGGCCAAATATGCCCGACGAGGTTTCGAAGTCTTCGTCCCCAGTCTTTCTCGGTCTGAAGTGGATCCAACTGTAAGCTTCTTGCCTTTTGTCACCGGAATCAAACCAATTCCGATAGATCTACGAGCGCTCGATCGCCCGAATCACTGGATTAGCTCGTCTGCTTGTTTTGGAAAAGCTCGCCAATGCCGAGACACGACATGCCTTCCTCAATGCACGACGCACTATACGAGGGCGTTCCGAGGCCTCGAACAAGTACTTCCGTCGCAAACGCAAGCTCAAAGGTGATCTCAAAGGGGAAGATACAGGTTTAGAAATGAATGACTATGATGTTTCCTCTTTGCACATCCCCTATGGTCCAGGCTGGAATGCCCGGAGAATTGACAGGCTGGTATATCAAACTGACCTTGCAATGAACTGTCAGTCATCATTTTTCGTCTATATCGAATTCTCACAATTACTAGCCACTTTCAATCCGAAGAATAAAGGTCGTCGACTTCATCGTCATCCGGCTTTCTTCGGGACTGCGCAGGAGTGCCTGGATGACTGTTGCGAACATTGTCCTGCTCCCATTGACGAAGATGAACGCCAACTGCAAGCTACTGAAGACCAGACACATATCCGGGGTCGAATCTCGTGGGTTTTCATTGCCAATTTCTGTTGAGCATAAACACCCTTTCTCCCAGCTTTATCCAAGAAGACCCAGGCCGTCAGTCCATCTCAGGAAGCTTCAATCCCATCGACGTTGGCGAATGGGCCGCGCAGGCCTACATTGGACCTAGCGAAAAGTTTTTCGCCGCCATTGTTCTTGGTGATGGTGCCACCGTGGCGAATATGATTCAAGACGGTCAAGACATCAACCGCCGTGATCATGTTGGCCGTATGCCCCTTCATGTCGCAATAATAGCGCGTCAATTCGAGGTCGCGTGTGATCTGGTGGATGCTGGTGCGCGGATCACTTCGCGGCTGGCGGACGGGAGGACCGCGTTGCATCTTGCGGCACAAATGGACTCGCTTGTTGTTTTGCAGAAGCTCTTGGAGCGGAGTGCTGCGAATAAGGCACTGACTGGGTCCGAGAATAACGACGAGGAAGTCAATGATGAAGTGGATGCTGAGCGGCAAAGATTGTCGTCTGAGGACGATTGGAGTTCCGAGGAAGATCCCGTTGTTGAGGAAGATGGAGATGATGCGGAATGGGAAAACGAACGTGAAGACGACGAGGAGGGTGAAGAAAACGAAGACGAAGATGAAGAACCTGAAGAAGGCGATGAAGATGAAGAAAACCAAGATGAAGAATCTTGGGAAGATGTTGACTCTGATGATAAGAATTCGGAAACACAGCCTAACGCCAACTCAGGCGTTCCTGACGACGAGCTCGACATCCCGGATGTGTTTGAGATAGATGCGACGGACTGGGACATCACTTATTCTCCCTTGGGTTATGCAATTGTTTTTGCCCGTCTGCCCGTCGTGGAGGCTCTTCTCGATGCTGGTGCCGATGCGAGCCACGTGATGCAAGCTAAAGGCAGCTCGGACGCCGTTGTACCCCTTGCTCTTACGCTGCTGCGTCCAGACGACGAACAGACTTGCCGTATTGCGGAACGCTTAATCACAGCTGGCGCGTCATGTACCGCCACTGAGACCGATGGCGAGGGACGCACTATTTTCCATCGAGCGGTCGAAAAGAACAAACCAAACCTCGTCAATGCATTCTTACGAAACGATCCAAACGGGAGGATAGCTCTGGAGTTCCCGACTGTTGGATGGAATGGCGCCGTCACTCCTCTGACGACTGCTGTTTCTCTACGACACCATGCCGTTTTGGCCGTTCTGCTAGCCCATGGCGCAAAGTTGATGTTGACCTCGGAAGAGGCCGAGACGGCCTATACTCGCAAGTCCGTGGCTTCTATACTTTTCTTTGATTTTTACTCAACGAACTGCGTTCCTTTTCAGCAAACAGTATGACTATGTCATGGACAAGAAGGACATATCGCCGATTGAAGTCGCTCTCCAAATTTACACGGCGCGGGATGTTCTCCCACTTCTCATTCAACTGGGGGCAAACATCAGTAGTGGGGTCTGGCATGCGTTGACCCACGATAACCGGGCAGAAAACCGCCAGACATTCCTGGACTGGTTGCGATATGCACAAGAGGTGGTGGACCACGAGATTTCGGAGCTCACCCGCAAGATTGATCGATATCGTCTGCCAACGGGGGACAGCGTTACACATCCGGGGTGGAAGGGACATTTACAGGCATTGCGAGAGAAGCATCGACTCTCGATGCAGGACCAGGAGTGGTTCAGCGAAAGGAACAGGCGAGAGGACGCGATTCGATGCAAGCTATATCTGATCGAGATGGAGAAGCTCTTCCTCGATAATGGAGCGAAAACGTGGGCTGAGGCATATCCTGACGTCGTTTCAAGTGCCAAATTCGAACTTCCCACATCGTTTTCGAATCCCAAATGCAATTATCACCGCATGGTCAACCCCTGGAATCAGGAACCTGTTCCCAGTCATTTGGACGAACGTTACGACGAGTTGTTTGAGGCGTGCTTCGTTGGGGACAATAACAAGATTCAAGAGCTCTGTTTGCCTCATAATACCTTGACAAACGATACTAAACTGCAAATCGCTGTTGCGGTCAATGAAGATGATGGGGATAACCGCCCTTCAGGTTCGTTCGTTGACAGTTTTTCGTTTGGCACTGGATGCTGATCTCTCTTTCCAGATTATACTCCGTTTACCGCCGCCGTTGCTGGTCGCCGCTGGCAAACTGTTCGGTTGATTGTTGCTATTGCATCGGCGCAGCATAAGCCCGCAAAAGGGGAGGAGAGGTTCAGCACTTCTCACGTTCATTTGGGTCAGTGTTGTTGTTTGGCGAAGGAGGGCTGCCGCTAATTTGCCTTAGATGACGACTCAGACAACGAATCAGACACATCCAACGAGACCGTGGAGCAGAATACCATCAACTTTGTTGATGTTGCTCACCGAACTTCAACGGTGGAATGTGAAATGAGTCCACAAAATCTACTCGAGTGGCGATGGGGCCTGCTATATCGAGCCATCGTCGATGACGATTTTGAAGCCTTTGCAAACGTTCTTCAAGTGTATCTGCATGGACCCACTCCGTTCAACGTCCCGCATTTTGTGTTGACGAGTGTCATCAGTTACGACAGGCCAGACATGCTCGACGAACTCATCCGCCAAACGGGTCGTGGCATCAATGTGGACACCCAAGTTCACAACGAAGGGGGGGCCAACGATCAAAATCGACTTTACCTTGGACTCAATGTCCATGGGAAAAAGCGAATTGATCTCGCCAAACAGAACGATCCTAACGCTCACTCGGATGCTGAGAATGGAGATGGCGTTAGTACACCGATGGTCTGGACCGCCATCTCAGATGGTCGCACGAAGATTAGAGAGTACCTTCAAGGAGACAAACCGTTGGCGGCGTACAAGCATTATGCTTCCACCCACCATACCGAGCGTGCGAAAGCTCTCCAGCGTGTTGCGGACTTGTCCAAGGCAATTCCAAAGTTATTGGGCTGGAAGATTTCGTCCCTTGGCGAGTCTCCGTTGACTGCCGCGATCTGCAGTTGCAACCTGGTTGTCATTGAAGACTTGTTCAGCAGACATCCGCAACTAATGGAGGAATCGTTGCTGGAGGAGTATGTTCCCGCCTTTCCCCCTCGTTCTTGCTTACATGTCGTTGGTAGGATCAAATACCTCCGCGTTAACCTGATGTTGGTTGCGGTCCAAGTCGGCTGCCCACCAGCTGTGCTCGACTTTTTGCTTGCCAAGGCAGTCTCTTCCACGGAGAGAGATGCACACAGAGGGTGAGTAGACGCGATTTGCCGTCTGACCCTTTTTGACCAACGCTGCAGCTGGAACGTTTTCCATTTCCTCTGCAACTCAAACCGACACGACCTGGCGGGGCATCTGATGGGCAAGCTCCCCCGCGAATCCGTTGAGCAACTACTGTTACAGCAGTCGCGCGGACGGTTGAACACGGTTTGTACTGTCTACTCGTAGCGAAGGTCTTAGCTGATCTATTCCAAGCCTCTCCATGTCGCTGTGAAGCACGGACACCATGGGTGTGTCCGACTCATCCTCGATTTCTCGGTCGCTTCTATTCGTCTACGCGATGTCGAGGGCTCGTTGCCTCTGCATTCCGCTGTGCGACTTGACGATACAGAAATGGTGAAGCTGCTTCTGAAGGCCGAGCCATTGACACTGCTCACTGAGAACGGAGTGGGTGAGACTGCGGTGGAGATGGCCATGCACCAAGACTTGGTTTCGCGCAACGAGGATCTTTATGCGACACCCAGCGTTACCAAAATCGACCGTCTTTCTTATCCGCATAAGTTCCCGGGGGCATTTGTGCGGCTGGGCGACGAGCTGACGCGGTTGAAGCGGGCGATTGGGATGCTTGTTGAGCAAGGGACGTTGACCCTGGGGACACCGACTCAGAAAGCACTTGCTTTATTCGTGAAGCATTTGGAGGCGCTGGAAGGCGACAGTGTGGAGCCGCAGCGAGCGGGTGATTCGGTGTTGGGTATATTGCGGGCGGCGGGGGAGACGAGTCAGGCTAATCGTGAATTGGTGCATCTGGTGGATGTTCAGATGTCGGTCCAGAATACGTTGGACAAGAACCAGCGACGAGCAGGGCGTCGTCACGATGATGATGAGGAGGAGGAAAGTGATGAGGAAGATGGAGAAGAAGGTGAAACCCCGGAGGAGAAAGAGCTTCGGAGTGGGTCGGTTTTCTATGGCCGGCTTGTAACTGGGGAGGACGATTTATGAGAGAAAAGCACCTTCTTGCTATCTCACAGCCCCTCTTTCGTGTCGATATATCAGTCGATCCTTCCATTGGCTGCTAACGTTTTGCATGCTTATAGCGCCGAGTCAGTATTTGTGGGGGGGAAGTGTGAGGGAAGAGACCGAGTTGCGCGTCTGATGTTAGATCAGAGTTACCCCTCCAATCCTGCTCCAAAATCATGCCAGTGCGACAACTTGAAAACCTGTCTGCGAATGTGGTGACTAGCGCTGACTCCAATGACGCGATGAGCCTGGCGCGAACTGAGGGCAACAGTGGGAATTTGAACTCGCCGACTAGTGGAAAACATCTCAAACAAGCAACAACTCAGACAAAACTCGAACAAATGGATCTGGCAGAGTCCCTCCACTGACTTAGACAGACTCCGTATCGATAGAAGGAGTCTCCATGTCAAAACTCATGCGTGTAATGCCGCCGAGTAACAAGGGTCGTCGATATTTTTGGAGGTTTGCAATTGCCGCGGGCATCACAGTTTGGGCCTGTCGCCGTTGAGTCGATGGTCCCCACAGGCCCAACCTCTGGTTGGCTCGTCGGTGACAGCGCCACTAACGGCGCTGCTTCTCACCCCCCTCTCCTTCTGATCTTGATTGTGTGCGGAGTATTATTACTCGGTCTATTCAAGAGCATGAGACATCCTACCGCCATAAATTGGGACACCCTCCGAGGAAATCTTGCGGCCTTCAAGTTCCTCGCTGCATGTCGGATCTTTCCCTGCAAAAGGCCACGGTATGAAGCTCTCGAGATGCGCCGCCTTTACTCATGTCCTCCTGGCTGACTGCTCTTGTCATTGAAACGTTCAATGTTGGTGCGTAAGCTTCAATACTTCCAGGCCTGTGTAACGCTAATTCGTGGCTTAGGCGCTTTCACCATACTATTTGGCGCATGTCTCCGCTTCATTTTCACCAAGAGGGCGTCAGACGTCAATGGTATTCTAACGCCGACGCTGTGCTTGATCTGGGTTCTCTCGATTACAGTGCGTCCGTCAACACTAGCTTCCGTTTAGTATGTGACAAAACTCAGCATTGGGTTGTGGACATTATCCGGGCCAGAATAGCATTCATTGACGATCCCGCGAATGCTCTGTTATACCTCAGCAATCCAGCCCAGCCTCTTGAGGGCGCAAAAATTGGAATTTACTCAACAATTACCATCGTTGCTGATTTCTTCATGGTGCGCATAAGTTATCTCGGCGAGCCCTGACATGACTGTTGTTCTAGATTTACCGCTGTTGGATGGTATGGAACCACAATTTTTACGTCCTCGCTCTTCCCGTGCTATGCTGGATCGCAACTGCTAGTAAGTCGTGGCAGCAGCGGCTCTCTACTGACTGACGGGTGAAGTAACCGGCTGGGTCGGCACGGCTGAGATTGTGCAGACTCAGAAGGGCGGGATTTTTCATTCCAATCTCCAGCCATGGATCATCAGCTTCTTCTCGCTGTCGCTCGCCACCAATGTTTTCTGCACGCGTGAGTTCAGCCATTACCGGATATTCATCTGACTGGGCTTCGCAGTCCTTATTGCGTATAAGGTGCTTCTAAGTCAGCTTCGTTTGCGGCGGAGGGGCGCACAGAGTACAATGGGACGAGTAATCCCCGCATTGGTATGCTTGCAGCCTGCTTGTCAATGACACACTCTTATAACCGATCAAGATTATATTCCTCGAGTCTGCAGCCCTCTACTCGCTCTCGCTCATTGCGTTGCTCGTCACATATCAGCTGGGAATCAACACCTCCTTCATCATTCTCGACCTGGTTGGTGCCTTTTGACTGTTATTCTTGCCTAACACATGTCACAGACCTCCTCCATCATCGGGATAACGTTCAGCAGCATCATCCTCCGCCTATCCATAGCCCACTCGCCGCCCAAATCATCGCAGTTCTCCTCCAACTCGGCGTCGCTGTCTGGTCGAGGGAATCTGGGCGGCATTGATTCCTACCCACTTGGTGCGGTTAATGTCCACGTCTCGCGCTTGGTCAACAGAGATGATTGGACCGACCCCAAAGCGCCGCGAGAGTATTCGGAAAGTGGAGCAGAGGACGCTAAAGCCTCTGGTACGGCTGTGTAGATTAGCTTCGAGCTTGGTAGACGAAATTAACATTTCCGAGTTACTTGATTGTGTATTCTCTTGAGAACCTCTCGGATGACGCTTGCTCCGTTGATACTGAACGACAGAAGGAGTGACAGTCGACGGTTGGTTGACGGAGGCTGTTGACGTGCACACGTGACGCAGCGGTAGCTTTTCCTCTTTTCTCTATCTCAACTCCTGAGGCTCTTCCTTTCGTGACGGTCTCATGGAGAAGCACAATCCTTCATACAACATGTGCATTACACGCTCAACATGCCTCCACTCTTCACTCCGTCCTCCAACCGTCTCTCGATGAGGAAGCAACGGTGTCGTTGTTGACGAGGCTGAGTTCAATCCCAAGTATCCGTCCCCGGCTGGAGTAACGGGGCTGTTGCCGGTTTCGTCTTTGCATGCTTGGAGCCACTATCCGAGCTGGCGAAGGAAACGAGACTATTGATGCGCAAACATTGTCATATAGAGTTGTTTCTTTCAATTTTCTTTGGGATATGCCACTGCTGGAACAGGTATGTTGTTATTACGTTGTTGCTCAGTTTTCTAACTCTAGGTTGGAGCAGCGGTCGTCAAAATCTACGAAGCTGTTCGCAACTCTTTTCCCTGGGATGTTGCTTGTGTGAGGACGAAACATACGGTCTGGATTCACTGTAAGTTGTTCCGCAACTACGCCTTCTCCTCTGACTTCTCCGAGGCCAATACCCAACTCATCCTCGATTTCTCGGTCGCTTCTGTCTGTCCATGCTCATTCTCCCAAGTCACCACCAACGGGCATGTCGCTCATCCTCGCTGACATATCGTTGTGTGATTGGAGCAGGGGATGCTGGAACGACCTCTTCGACTTGGCGTGCTGGTGTTGGTTGCTGCCATGGATTGTCGTCAAATCGGAAGTAAGGGGAAGACTGCACTGGCTCTGGCGCTTGTGAATCCACACGAGGAGGATGGGCTGTTTGGAAGTCATTCGAGGGTTGCAGAGGAGGTTCCGAAAAATAGAGGTTCAGCCCAGGCCACTTGTCGTCGCTATATTGCTCGAAATAGAAGGATTCGTTATCTTGAATTGGGAAATTAGGTGTGGCCCAGTGTAAGGTGAGAGGCTGGCACTTGGGTGTGCCGTCATGACGAGCTCTACCACATGTGATACAAACCTGTGGTTGCTCTCGCGCTTTGGCACTGCGGATCCTAGCCAAGATAGTTTTAAAAGTGGAAAGTAATGTTTTCTTGCTTACTTCTGGCGATAGCGCGTGCGATATGCTCTCGCGCGTGCAGCAGCCTCCTCTTGCTCCCGAGCTGGCCTGTCCTTGAGCTTAGCGCGCTTTCTATAATGCTTGTAAGTTGCAGAGCGACCGACGGGCAAAACATACTTGGCCATATATTGCCTTGCCATCTCGTTTCGCCGCAACTGTCGCTTCAGTCTGGAGAGAATCGCAAAAGAAGTCAGCGAAGGCACTGCGGCCATTGGCAACGCAAACGACGGCCAACTGAGGGGAGGAGAAACGCACAGAGCATCATATGGGGGTGGCGGCTTTCGATGCGGAAGCGCGGAGCCGGATTCCAGTGCATATGTGGGTACAGACATGGTCGCCCGGCTCAGAGGGAAAAAACGGGACTGCTCACTAGTATATCAATGATGGTCACATCACGTGGTATACACCACGTGCCGCGCGTCAGTTCGCGACACTTTCGACACAAAAAAGCAAAAACATCAGGAGAAACGGTGGGTTTCGGCGATGTTTCTTATACTATGGCAGGACTATGATATTCTTCAACTTCTGGCCGTAGCTTTACCCGACTCAGTTAGCATTCCGATTTTCCAGAGGACTGGAAAGTTGCTGGAAAGCACAACTTGAATTACGTCATCTTATAGTCTAGTATTAGCCTGATGTCTGTTTTTACTATTATACTATAAAACTCATTTGTGGCTCCCATGTCAAAGCACTATCTAGTACATACATACGAGCGCAGAGCTGCTGAACGAATTACTTACATTCCAATTGTCCAACAGTCACTCCGAGTCCGAAACTTGAATCTGTTGGAGCAACAGCCTGAGCACATGCATGGAGATGTCTTTCTCAGGCTCACACACTGGCGTACCTGCATTGCATTACTCTATTTTGGTAGCCAGGCTAAATAAAGGCAGCTACAAATGCGCTTCAGGTTCAGGTGGTTATCGTGGGAACGGAACAGACCGGATCACCAATTGCCGTTGTCAGCCGCGCACCTTGACCAATTCAACCACCACCCCCACTAGCAAAGTTGGGCAGACATCCAGGCACTTCTCAAGACTCAAGCGTGAGTACGTGTGTCGAGTCGTATTCGCTGCCTGCACTGACAAATGCCTTCAGCAGCCGCTCATATTGAATGCGTCTTCAAATTTCTGCCTCTCGACTCTCGATACTAGTGGATGCGACCGAGGGCATGCTAATGTCGAGGAGCTTACTGAAGCTGTAAGTGCCCAAAGTTTGGACTTTTCCAAGTCAACAACACTCGTTCTGATACTCCTTGCAGACCCAGAAAACGTGAATTCCTTTGATTCCGCCATCCGAGAAAGGCCATGAAACCGCCCCTTCTTTACCCACGTTCTGTGCCTCTGGAGCCTTCAAGCCGAAATATGCCTCAATTTCAGTGTACCTCTGGATGCTCTTTGGGTTGCGTATAAAACGGCCTTCAAAGTGCACTAATCCTCATCCTCCTTCGAGTTCTCCACTGCAATGAGGAAAACTGCAGCCTTCCTACTCCTCCTAGGTCATGCGCTCGCCGCTACGGTCAACTTCGACATCAACGTGCGACTTTCAAGTAGTCTCCCAAAGGTCAAATATTTACGCTTCCATTGCAGGTCCACAACTCTGTCGAGAGCCCAGACGGCTTCCCTCGTTCATCCATCGTTGCGGGGCAGTTTGGTGGCGTGCCTATTGTGCTCAACAAGGGCGACTTCGTCAACATCAATGTTACGAACACCCTCACGGACCCAACTATGCGTCGGTCGACTTCGATTGTGTGTTTCCACTTTTTCTCGCGTGAACCTCACTAATCTTGTTCAGCATTGGCATGGTCTTTTCGTGAGTTAGTTACGGGCGATGATGGAAGTCTCTGACACTTGTTGTAGCAAGACAGAACAGCGAGCGAAGACGGACCGTCATTCGTCAATCAGTGTAAGATTGTCTCAGCCTTATCCACTTCTCTTGACGTATCTTGCAGGCCCCATTGCTCCAAACAATTCGTACGTCTACAGCTTCAGCACGGGAAATCAATCTGGCAGTGCGTTCCGGCCTAGTTTTATGTTTCGTCGCTCACTTCCGTTCCAGCCTATTGGTATCACTCCCATCTCAGTACTCAGTACGCCGATGGCGGTAAATTTTCACTTCTTGATTTTTGCCTGAGCTCATCTCTTTCTGAAGAACGTGGCACCTTCGTTATCTGTATGGTCTATGCTTTTGAATTTTCCATGATTAATAGTTGACCAGACGATCCGGAGGACCCACTTGGCGACCTCTACGATGTCGACGATGCTGGAACCATCATCACCCTGGCTGACTGGTACCACACTCCAGCTGAGCAGCTTATGGACCAGTTCAAAAAGGACGACGTGACGCCTGTGCCTGCTTCCGGGCTTTTCAATGGCGTTGGAGTGGGTCCATCACCGTCAGTCCCAACGTTATGTTGACGATCATCCAGCGCTTTATTGGGGGTCCAGCAATCCCTTGGGCAGTTGTGACTGTGGAACAAGGAAAGCGGTACCGTTTCCGTGTTATCGACATCTCCGCCTTCGCTGCCTACACAGTCTCTGTCGATCGTGCGTGGATTGTGGTGCTTTTCCCCTCCTAGTTCAACTCCTTTCCAGAGCATCTGATGAGCATCATTGAGATCGATGGCATTGAAACCGTCCCGCTTAGTGTCACCAGCTTCGACATTCATGCCGCGCAACGCTATAGCTTTGTGCTGGAGGCCAATCAGCCTGTTGGAAACTACTGGTTCCGTGCCCCGATGGACGTAGCAGGGAATAACGCTCTCCGTAAGTTGATTATCCAGAGTCAACTCAAATCTGACTTGCAACAGTGGACAAGAAGAACGTCAAGGGCATTTTGCGATATGTCGGCGCCCCGGTAGAAGACCCTACTAGTTCTGCGGTTGTTGTCCACCCACTTTCTAAGGGCGGTGCGGGTGGTGGTGCACCAGCTCCTCTCGAGGAATACCAACTTCAAGTAAGCAGCCTTGAATTCCCAGTTTACGACTAAATGTTCATTAGACTCTGATCGACCCCGGCGCACCAGGAGGAAGTGCTCCTGCTGACCATGTCATTGACCTTCAGTTCGACGAGGTCAGTATACTTCTTTTAGCAGTCTCGTCTCATGTTAAAGCCTTTTACAGGCCGGAAAAGGTACCTGGGAAATCAACGGTATTTCGTATGTCCCTCCAGACCTCCCGACACTCCTCAAGATCATAAACGGAGCTACCGTCGAATCTGACTTCAATGTTTCTGAGCATACGTTCGTTTTGAAGAACCAAGAGGTTGTCGAGCTGCGCATTCACGGCGCTGACCATGGAATCACCCATCCGTTCCATCTTCAGTGCGCTAGTTCCTTTGGTCTTTGGTTGACTGCTAATCGTGATGCAGCGGCCACGCTTTCGACATTGTTCAGAGCGCGTCTGGGCCCGTCAACTTCGTTAACCCGCCACGCCGAGACGTTATCGCTGTCGACCAAGGTGGCGTGGTTATCCGTTTCCGGGCCGACAATCCCGGACCCTGGTTCTTGCACTGGTGACTTATCAGTTCGTCTAATTGAATTTCTCGCTCACTTTAAACAGCCACATCGATTGGCATTTGGAGGCTGGTCTCGCTGTTGTCTTCGCCGAGTCGCCTCCAGAAGAGCGCGAGGGTCCCCAGTCGCAGATCATCAAACAAGAGTGGCTCGACTTGTGCCCTGCTTACGATGCTCTTCCTCCTGGTAGGCTTCCTTGCGAGCCTGATGATATATTATCTGATGTGTTTGCTGCAGAGTTCCAGTAAGCGGTTGAGCCAATATTTAGTTCCTTTAGACGCTCATTGTATTCGCGAAAATCAATTATTATTTGCACGTGGACACCAGCTTGGAACTCGAAAGTGTTTCAACTATATATGGGAATGTTACTGTACAAGAAGACCGTACTTGAGCTACTACTAATTGGAGTCAACAGCCGCGAAGAACACCTAAAAAGTTGAGTAGGTCAGCCAGTATCCCATTCCTCGAGGAAGAAAAACGAAGAAAAGAAAAGGAAACAGGAGTTATTTGACAACTTAGCGGGTTATTGATGTCCTTTGACGCCCATTCGATGCTGAGTGAGCCCCCGTCCGTACGCCCCGTTGGAATCTCACAGGAGACCTGCCGGCCAGCATCAGCGATGCAAATTTAAGACGCGGCATCCTCGATCCGAAACCGCGGCGGGCGCACTGCGACAGTCGGGCTCTTGCCGGTCGGACTCCAGCCATTGATCGCCTGAACAACACGGTCTTCTCACTTTAGTCACTAGTGTCCAAGGGTGAGTGGTCGTTCTCGACAATGATGGAGGCAACTGACCGCTTTGGAATTTCATCTCGCAGAATGGTCCTGTCCTGATGTTGCTGAGACCGTGTGTGTAGGGACTATGGCTGGGCCTGCTTCGGTTAAGGGTAGCATGGCGATGAATGGGTAGTCGGTGGTTGGTTGGTGGATTGGTTTGCGAGTGTGTGCGAAAGAAAGAAAGAGAGGCAGAGGTAGTGGATGGTGAACGACGTGGTGGTCCCAGTCTCGATGGACAATGAATAGGAATAGGTGGTTGATAACCGACCACCACGCGAACGATGGGACGATGCCCGTAGAGAGAGAGAGAATGGGTGGATAGCTGACTGCCTACTCACCAGTGTCGAGCATGAGTACAATGTTGACGACGATGAGTCCGATCTGAGCATGGTGAGCGAGCATCGTGTAATAAGGTATGCGACACCTACGTCGAGTGCTGTTGAGGGTCGTGGAACGGTCAGTTACTTGGGGAGCAGTGGAGCGAGTTCGAAGAGGAGATGAGGGGAGAGGACAAGAGGCTGTTGATCACGTTGCAAGCTAGCACGCCTTTTATACTCATCCCCATAGACGCCCACACCGGGCGCCAGAGATGTCGCCGATAGAGTCATCGAACAAAAAAAAGAAGGCATGTGGCCACGATTTGTGGCTATGTGTGGATGCGACCAAATTGGAACCTGTCAAGCCAGGTTACCAAGAACTTATCTAGCATTAACTGCCCCAACAATAGGTTGACCGTCCAGACGATGAGCAAGCATGGGTAGGTGAAGGCATGTCCATAGTTTGTCGAATCGAGCGACCGAGGTAGAAGACCGTCGGATTGAGGCTGTATAGCCGCGCTCGTGAGCAACTCGGATGCTGAAAGGGTTGCGAGCACGACAAGCAAGACGATGTCCAAGAAAGAAATGAAATCACTTCATCATGTGACCATAAAGCCTTTGCTCTACCAGAAACTGTCATCTCGTCGCCGAGCCAAGGCGCTATGGCTATCCTTTCGAGGCAGGCGAAAGCTAGGTCCATCAAGGATCCCATTCACGACTTCAGTCCGTCCTTTCAACATCTTGTTTTCATTCTGGGCTGCTCACAGCGCGACAGTGGGGAACTTCTCGAAACAAGTTAGCGCCATAATCGACACGTACGTCCTATGCTGAATATATGCCGCGCTCTCAAGCCTCCTGCAGACCACACTTTCAACGCTTACGCCATATCAAACAACTGGGCACAACCTATCGAGTTTATCCTGGCGCGTCCCACAATCGTTTCGAGCATTGTCTCGGTGCGTTGGACTACTCGGGGCTAGTTCGGGCAAGCTGACTGACTCGGTTACAGGCGTGGCTCACTTGGCGCGTTCTATGGCCGTCCACCTACAAAGTAATCAACCTGAACTGGGCATAACGGACCGGGATGTGGAGTGTGTCCAGATTGCGGGTCTTTGCCATGACCTGGGGCATGGTCCGTATAGTCACGTCTGGGATGGCCTATTTATTCCTTCCGTCGCGTAAGCTTCACACATGATGGAGCGCGAACTTATTGACGAATAAACCAGACCAGAAAAGAACTGGAAGCACGAGGACGCGTCGAAAATGATGTTTGACGACCTCATCAAGTTCTTAAAGCGAAAGGGTATCGTCGAGGAAACCGCGTTCCCCGAAAAGGACGTCAAATTCGTACTTGCCCTCATCGACGGAGACCCGGCTCAGTGCGAGTGCGTTGGATTTTGGATGCATTTTGCGCTTCTCACCCCTTCCAGTCCAGAAGAGAAGCCGTTCCTATTTGATATAGTTGCCAACAAAAGGAATGGAATCGATGTGGACAAGTAAGTTCATTGCCCTTTTTGGTCGAAGCCTTGTTGAAGCGGTCCTGAGGTTTGACTACATTGCCCGGGACCGTTACATGATGGGCATTTCCAGCCAATTTCCTTCCTCTCGTATCATCCAGAGTGCGAGAGTCATCAACAACGAAATTTGCTACGACATCAAAGACGTCAACATCCTACACGACATTGGCACCAGTCGCTTCGGGCTTCACAAGCAGCAGTACAATCACAAAACCGGTTAGTTTCTACATTTTCGCGGAACGTTTGCTTGAAGGGTTATAGCCAAAGCCATCGAGTACATGATAGTGGACGCGTTGAAGCTTGCCGAGCCACACATGAAAATCGCCACTCGAATCGATGTCCCAGAGGAGTTTCTTCATCTTACCGACAACATCGAGCTGGAGATCAAAGCTAGTAGAGGACCGGTGTGGACTCATTCGGTTGTCTACCTTTTTCTCTCTCTCATCGCGGTGCTTTAGGAGCTGCAGGCTTCCCGAGACCTTCTCGATGACATCGACATCCGCAATCTCTATAAGCTAGTGGACGACACTTTTGTCGACTGGGAAAATCAGAGAATATTTAGGCAACGAATGACCAGCCAACGAATCGTCGAAGCAGCCAAGCGTATCGCGGCAGAAGAGGCGGAATCGTTGGACCTCGGCTCGCTCACCCCCGAGACGGTTATTGTTGACCAGACCACCATGCACTATGGGATGAAGGAGAAGAATCCGCTTGATTTCGTCAAATTTTACTCCAAGCATAACCCCGATCGTGCGTGTCTGTTCGTCTCTCAACCAAGGCTTACCGAAGGGCAGAATGTGCGTTGGCTCAAAGAGGCGACTATTCAACTCTCTTGCCCCAATACTTCGCAGAAATTAAGCTCTCTGTTATCACGAAATTGCCCCAGTGCGTTTCAAATCCTTCTGCTTGTCGTTGGCCTTGACTCATCGTTTTCAGGTATTTTGGCGTGGTGCAAGCAGGTTATCGTGCTGTTCTCAAGTCAATTCAGGACGAAATCATGCGACCCACAACGCCTACACGGACCGGACATTCCCGCGTATCCAGTTTTGGCTCGCTCGATGGCAACTCGTTGACAAGGGTGCCGCTCAACTTTTCGCTGGCCACTCCTGGCAAACCAATCACGGGGAAACGGTCTTTGGGCTCTATAGATGAGGGAGATGATGAGAGAAGTGCGAAGCGACAAGCCAGGTCAATCGAATGACCGGAGAACGGCTTGACCATGGACCAAAGCTTTCTTGTTGCTACTCGATCGAAAGTGTTATCTTACCGTGCTTTTCTGTATATTTCTTAGAGCATACTACCTGTAAATAGTGGAACTACTAATGCATTTCGTTCAAGTGGCTTGAGATTCTCGATGTAAATTCCTGACCTGCCTAGGCGACACGTGACAATGATTACATAACTGCATTTCTCTCCTTCCGCCATGACCAGCAGCCCACAACCAGTGTGCCTGTTCCATTATGCAGTTCGAGAACATCTTTTCCCGGTCCCGGGAAGCATCCGGACTAATTTCGACACATGTCTGGCTGGCTACTGAACTCAGCTTTCCCTCCAACCGTCAGGACAATTCTCGGGAGAAGAATTTACGGACCGCTCTCGACATGGTCACATGGAAGGGCGGCGGCGCGTTGGCCGACACACTGCTGCCAGCGAAAATATTATAAGAACTGCGAGCAGAGACGAGGTCGTCAGCTGGCCATGCTTCGCCTGCTCTTTGCCTCCCTGTGGGCTCTTCCCGCCCTCGCTCTCCAAGACGGGCTCCATTTTAGCCTGGAATCGCGTGCGACGAACAAGGATGGGTCCCTACCGGTTTACAAAAACCCCAAAGCGTCAATCGAGGCGAGGGTGGCGGACTTGTTGCCACGGATGACCGTGAAAGAGAAGGTTTCGCAGATGTGAGTCTATTCCACTGTGGGTGTGCGGAAAGCTGGAGCTGATGCTATCCCCGCTAGCATCCAAGGCGACATAAAGTCCTATATCGCGAACCCATTCGACCCATTAGACAACACACTGCAGTTCAACCAGACAGGGCTTGCCGAAATGTACGCGCAAACAGGAGGTGAGTTGCGGGCTTCGTTGTTCAAGCGAGGAGAGACTGAATGAGGTCAGGCTCCGTCTGGGCGGGCTACCAAATGCCTTGGGAAAAACTTGCTTTCGCCGTTAATGTCGCTCAAAAGTACATGATCGAAAATACCACCTTGGGCATTCCTGCGTTGTTCCAGTCCGAAGGTGCGTGTGCATATACGACTTGATGCCCATACTCATCCCTGCAGGTCTACATGGCTTTACGGACAATGGCACGACGTTCCCTTCTCCAATCGGTCTTTCCGCATCATTCAATACCGATCTCGTCAAACAAGTAGCCCAAATCATTGGAAGCGAAGCAGAGGGACTGGGAATAAACCACATTTTTGCGCCAGTCTTGGACTTGTCGCGAGAACTTCGCTGGGGCAGAGTAGAAGAAAATTTTGGCGAAGATCCCTTCTTGACTGGAGAGGTCGGCAACGCGTATGTCACAGGCTTGCAGTCCGGAAAGCGGAGAAATGCCAGCTCGACAGCTATTGCGCGTGTTGCAGCAACCTGCAAGCATTTTGCGGCTTTTGGCTCCCCTCAAGGTGGCTTGTGAGCTGTCGTCTACTTTGCGAGTTGCTTCGGGTCTGACCACAGCGCAGAAACATCGCTCAGGTCTCTGGAGGAGAGCGTGAGCTGCGAACAACTTTCCTCAAGCCATTCAATCGAGCATGCTTGAATGCGTTGTCATTCATGACCGCTTACTCCAGCTACGATGGTATTCCGGCAGTGGCTAATAAACGTGCGTTGTTTTGCAAAATTAACCAACTTCTCTGACATCTGTAGATTTGTTGACCGACATTGTCAGTTTTTTTCTCTTTCAGTGCTAACACATATCGATCCTGCTTCAGCTTCGTAACGAATGGGGCTACAAATACTGGGTCACTTGTGATGCTGGTTCAATCGTCAGTGAGGATATAGCTAAATATCAATCTTACTGACAAGGATGGCAGGATATGCTTTACAATCTTCACTTCACATGCGACTCCCGCGAATGTGCTGCAAAAACAGCATTGGAGAATGGTCTGCAAGGTGAAATGGGTGGTGGGACATACACATATCTCACCCTTCCCGGTGAGTGAAGGCTTCTCCTGTTTTTTCCTTTGGAGGGGAACTTAACGCCAGACCAGACCAGGTTGCAGCCGGGAAGGTCGATGAGAAACTACTTGACCAGACTGTTGCGGCCATGTTACGGACCAAATTTTCTTTGGGGCTGTTCGAGAGTACGTGAATTTCTATGCTGTCGAAACCATCCAGTAAATTGTTCAGATCCATATCCATATGCGGATTACACTTCCAGTCTCCGTACAGCAGCATCGCGCAATGTTCTTCATTCCATCGAGTCTGAGGCTATCGTTCTGTTGGAGAACCGCAAAAACACACTTCCTCTCAAAAGCGGCTTAAAGTCGATCGCGTTGATTGGGCCACACGCGAATCGGGTCACGGTAGCTCGTTCATACGTTCTCCCCCCAGTATAACTCACTATCGCGCAGCTTGGCGACTACGTTTTCCTCAACGCCACTCTTAATGGCATCACCCCAGTCGCTGGTGTTAATCAATTCATCTCTAGTCCCGCGGCTGGAGGGTTTTCCAATGTCAAGGTCAACTACGCAGAAGGCTGCAAGCTATGGTCTAACGACCAGTCTGGTTTCTCGGCTGCCGTACACGCGGCACAAGGCTCGGACGTTGCAGTTGTGATGGTGGGCACTTGGAGTCTCGATCAAACCAACCTTTGGACCCCTGGCACGAATGCAACAACCGGAGAGCATGTTGACTTGAGTGATTTGGCGCTTGTTGGTGCACAGTTGGCGCTGGTGAAAGCTGTGAAAGCAACGGGAAAACCAACAGTGGTCGTCTTTGTTTCAGGAAAGCCTATCGCGGAACCATGGATCCAAGCCAGTGAGTTGTCTTCTGGGGCTGGTGTCGTTTTCAATGCTAATGCCTTGAAAAGATGCGGATGCAGTTATCCAGCAATTCTATCCTGGCGAACTTGGCGGTGAGTAGACCGGAACACGGCCTGGACAGAGCTTATTTTCTTGACTAAGGACTCGCACTTGCCGAAGTTCTATTTGGTGCAGTCAACCCTTCTGGTACGTGTCCATAGCTCGTATTGACTCATGCGCGCTCACATCTTTTCAGGCAAACTACCTGTGTCCTTCCCCCGCTCTGTTGGCACGACCCCCGTCTTTTATAACTACTTGAAGGGCAGTCGGCCCATCGACCCTGGACAAGTCATGGATGATGGCAGGTTGCAATTCGGTCATCAGGTCTGCTGATTTGCTTCTCCGACATTTGTGAAGGTCTGAATTCGATGATAGTATGTGCTCGACAGCCCCGTTCCCCTTTGGAGCTTTGGCCATGGCTTGAGTTACACGTGCGTCTGTCTACTGCGACTTGCCTCCCACTAACCATTGCAAACTAGAACATTCGCATAGTATGAGGATTGCTCGTTTATTTTTCGGCGCTAAATTGTGCCTTATAGTACTGACTTGAAGCTGTCCCCCGCCAAGATTAGCGGTTCGCAGCCGTTCAATGTCGTCGTGACAGTCCACAACACTGGATCCGTTGCTGGGAAAGAGGTGGTGCAGGTGAGGAGCACCTTTTACCGTTTGTAACTTAAGCCTCACTGCCTTAGGTGTATGCAACAGACCTCGTCAGCTCCACCGTCACTGCGAACCAACAACTCGTTGGCTTCCAAAAGGTCGACATCCCGTACGTGCACTCTTTCGGTCGATGTTCTTTTCTTGTGTCCCTCATATGGATTCTAGTGCGGGTGGATCGACGACCGTTACCATCCCCGTTGACTCCTCCCAACTTGCGGTCTGGACGTTACAGAACAAATGGGTGGTAGAGCCGGGGGTCTTCTCGATAAAAATTGGGACGAGCGACCAGGTATTCGCCCAGTCGAACTTGACTGTAACGTAGGCTGGATGTGTCTGCTCTCTATTTATCGATAAACCCGGGAAAGAGTAGAATGTCGCGATCCGTCACTATCACGTGTCCGTCGTTGATTAGATCAGATTACCTCATCTTCTGCGACTTGCGTTTGACAATGATTTGAAGTCGTTGGCGCTACTTGACGTCAGCGATGGACTCCAAGGCCTCTATGCAGTCGTCAATCCAGCCGCACATTCAAACAAAGCAGAAAACTAATGGGATTATCCCTTTTTTCATAGGGCTATTCACGGCTCTACTTTCCCTTCAAATTTATAAGCACCTGTTCTCTCTGCAAACCATCCACAGTCCTGCAGGACACTCGCCTTCGCCTACATGTCATCCGCCACTTCCAAACCTCTTCAAGAACAGCCCCATAACGGCCGCGCAACTTCCCTCCGCTCTGGACTTTGTTGACGGTATGGTCAACAAGACTTATGCTCTTGGAGGCATCGACGGTCTCGTGGTAGCAATTGTCACCCGTAATGGGGCTGTCTATGAGCGGGCGATTGGGAAGCTCAAGGCCAACGAGACGAGCGCGGAAGCGAGAGGGACGGTCGATCGAAACAGTATCTTCCGCATTGCGTCTGGGTCAAAACTGTTCGCCGCATTGGAGGCGTTGGTATTGCGAGAGAGAGGCGCGCTGCAGCTGTGAATGTTTCGACTGTGTGGTGTGTTTTGGGACTAATGCAAGGCAGGGATGATCCCGTGGGAAAATACCTTCCTGGCTTTGCCCATGCCGCGAATGGATGGACCGGGCGGGCGGATGAGTCGGGGCCCATAACCGTGCGCCAACTCGCAACTCATATGTCGGGGCTTACCCGGGAATTCCCTCGGGGAGATATGCCTCACTGGCCCTACTCGATGGAAGGGACGGGGGCACCTCCCGGCAACGGGCAGCCATTTCCAACCTTGGATCATATAATTTCGGGTCTAGAGCGTTACCCTCTCACCATACCGACGTATTCTTACCCGATTTACTCGAATGTCGGCGTTGCTTTGCTCGGCCAGGTGGCGGTCAGTGCGAATCAGGCCTTTGAAGCGAGCAACAGCTCTCCATCGAGCTGGGAAGAGCTGGCCAAGCGAGATATCTTCGCACCGCTGGGGCTCAACGACAGCGATTTCGTCGTGACCTCGGAGAACAAGGCGCGAGTAGCAGTGGCAGCGCATGACAGCTTTGAAGTCGTACGTGTCTTTTTTGTCTTGCTTCTGGGCATTGATCATGTTTCCAGGATCTCGACTTCCTCGCCATGTCTTCTTCAGGAGGCCAAATGAGCTCCTTGGCAGACTACACAGCGCTGATGCAGACCCTCCTCGACCCAACACTCCCCCAGAGTCTTCTTCCGCCCCATGTAGTCCGTGAATGGCTGCATCCCGTTCATGGCTGGTTCGATGACACCACAGAGGTCGGTTTCATCTGGGAGATCGAGAAAATCCGCGACTCGTACCGCCGTCCAGTCAGGATATTTGAGAAATGTGGGTCCATTAGTAGAACCCACTGGCCTTGTTGACCCTATTGCAGCAGGAATGCTCAATTCCGCCCGCAGTGTCTTTGCAATCAACGCGGACATGTCGTACGGCGTCGCATTGCTCATGACAGGCACTTCGCCAGCCGGGGGCGAGTTGGTGCTGAATATATTCCGCTATTTGCAGCCATTTCTCGACGAATTGTTGGCAGAGCAGACCGCCAATATCTATTCCGGCCGGTGGACTGAGCCAGCGTCAAACTCAGAGATTGTCGTCGCGGTCATGGGAGGGTCATTCTGGGTGACAAAGCTGCTACTCAGGGGCTCAGATGTTCTCCGTGTGGTCCACGGCATGCCACAAGACGACCAGCGAGCGGCTGAGCCGATTGCGATGTGGTCAACAGGCACGCTGCATGAGTTTCGGTGAGTTATTTCATCGTCACGTGCACCTTGCCTTGATAATTGCCCAGCATGGCTTTTACTTCCCCGTCACTCAATTGTATGCGCTCGTGGGTCACTATCGACGACGGCTTCGCGCGGGGATACCCCACGGACTTGCTCTATTTCACGGAGACACAGGACTCGAGTCTACAGCTCCATGTCCCTTCGGTCGATGTCACTTTACAACTTGAAAGTCGATAGAATCCATAGCTCCCCGAACTGGTCAAGGATGCACAACTGGGTTTTGCAGTTCCACGTCGACAGATAGCCAATTAACTGTAACTCTTTACAATATTCCCTACTGCTTGTCCATCGTTTGCTCACAGTCGACTCCGTACTTTTGAGGCCTGGAGAGCCGTGAATATCGACTTGCCCAGGGTTTCAGGAATCTCTTGGACAATCTACGCCCATAAGATCAGTGGCAAAAGACGGACAACACGCACCAGATGGCCGGCATCCTTTATAACGTCGACAGATGCCCATGGCTGGCTCTCGATGATGGCTTTGTGGACCCGCTTTGGTCTACGGAGGTTTAAGCAAAAGAAAGCTTGTTGACAAGAGACAAACATGAAGTCGGCGATTCCGCCGAGGATGAGATGGACGGGCATTATGCGACACAGCCGTTTGAGCGTCTCGACTGGCTTGGTTGCGCCGTCTGGGTCACGGTACATTGCCTGAAAGAGTAAGCCGAGCAAGAGAAAATCGAGCAAGGCACGGACAGCTTCTTGGTCTCGTGTACACGCCAGCGTCACGCCAGGGTACCTCCCTTCGGGGTACTGGTTCCCCGCTGCAGAAAGTCAGCAGAGATGGTAACCAGTGCAAGGCCACACACGGTGCTCGACAATGCCGTACTTCTGGGAAAATATGTCAGCTGCGCCTAGCCAAAGAGGAGAAGAAGCGCACGACGAAGATTTCGAGGATGCGAGGATCCCATTTTTTGGTACGGTCGCGGGTTTTGAGGGCCGCCAGTGCTTTTTCGCGGTCTGGCCACACATCTCGACGCTCATAGGCGCCTTTGACAAGCAGCTCGCGCAGCTTGATGAGATGCTGCCCACCAGCGGGGCTGATGAGGGGTTCGAGAAGGACGAGGGAAGAGAAGGGGAAGTGTGGCTCGATGTCTTGTAGCAATGTGCTTTGGCTTGGTGAGCGAAGAGAGCTCAACGGAAAGCAAGAAAACGGACACCGCAACACCACCTAGACTGTGGCCAATCCCCACCAAGTTTCTCTTCCGGAAATCCACTTTCCCGCCTTGTTCGGGGCCCATAGAGAGAAAGTGGTATATTCCTTGGGCGTACCGTTCGCAGGAGACTATGAAAGTTAGGTCGTGTTTTAGAGCAATAAAACGCGTACAGTTGAGGAAAAACTCGGGTTGGAGGAGAATATTGGCGTTTGCGTGGCCAGAAGCGCCATGATTCGGACAATCCAAGCACCATGCTTCACGGATTTTGAGTGAACTCCCGCTGGACGCGGCCAGCTTGAAGATCGCCTCGAGAGTGGGCATCCATGTCTCCTTGTGGAAGCTCGTAGCGTGCAGAAAGAGGAGCGTCAGTGCCTCCGGGTCTTGCTCATTTTCCTTGAATTCCGGCAGCCAATAGCGCTTTGCAGAGAGGAAGAACGGGTAGGCGGTCGTCGGGTGGTAAAGGACGGCTTCTTCCTGCATTCAAAACGAAGAATGTGGCGCGAAGCGGGGTGGTGGTAAGAACAAGGTCATCGCGGCTATTTGACTTGACCGTGAGGCCGATTGATGGTTTCCTTTTTCGGCTCCGAGTTGATGATGAAGACAGGCCCCCACAAGAAGTCAGTAAAGACGAAGAACCCATACCCTGGGTCCGGTTCTTGCAGGCTAGAGATGTAGAAGTTGAGGTTTTTGGTTGGGAGGTGATTATCGGCGAAACAAACTCGGGGAGCGCTTAGAAAATGGCAATAATAGTGAGTTCTCAAGAGTCGGAGGCAAGACAAGACGAGACCTGGAAAATAGGTACCACGCGATGGATGTTGACTGCTGTTCGGCGTCTTGTGCCCCGGATACAGCCCCCTATGACGCAAACATTGGTCCGCATCGTCGAAAGACTCGAAGTGGTTTCAATGCCAATTCATACTCGATCCACAAAGCTGATTCTTGCTGAGGCTTGGGCTGCATTGATATAATTTCTGGATTGAAGGGGAGTATCTGGGCTCGATGCTCTCGCACGGCATTAAAGAGTCTCCGGTCGTGTTTAGTTCTGGAAAGAAAGTCGAAATCTGTTCCCACTCACTCGGAGGCAGTGAAGCTGTAGGCTGTGTGGTGATAGCCACACGTTAGAGCATTTATCACGACGTCAGTACTCGATCACTTTCTGTGCACGAACATGGCAGTAACTTTTCGGTCTTAAGCGATATATTGAGGGCAAAACAAATCAGTCAATTTTCCGTTTTGGGTAGTACATGAGTGGTGTTTAGAAACTAAGAGTCTGGCCAGCACTCCCGACTATCAAGTATGAGAGATAAGTTTCGCATGCTACGAAGAACTCACCAACTGCACTGCGGACCGCAGAGGCCGCGAGTTTGCTGTAGGAGTATGGTGGGCTAGTGAAGCTGCCAGTTGGGGCTGGAATGATAACGATTAGATAAGGACATCGGTCAATCAGATAACCCACCTGTGTTTGAGGCGCCACCGAAGTCATTGCCAGTCGCAACAGCAAAGCCGCCGTCAGTCGAGTAAAGGGGCTTGCTGGTTCCGGTCCAGACGTTGTTCTCGACAAGGAGTTGAGCGCCGTCGCGAGTGTTGATGCCGTCGCTGTTGTTATCGAAGACCTAGCTCATTGTCAAAAGAAGCACAGCACGGAGGTGCAACATGAACAGACGTTGTTGAAAATGTGGCCGTGACCGAATCGGAACGATGGGGTACGCGAGTTGAGGTTGTACCAGTAATTGCTGGCCAGGGTCACGGTGATGGGGGTGTCTTCGGCGCCGTTGTTGTCGGAGTGACCAATGAGGGAGGCCTTCCAGTGCGTATAGAGCTTGCTCTGTTTGGAGAATCAATACTGTTTCTGCATACCACAAAGTATTTCGGCGACGAACATTGGTGACGGTGATGCCAGTTACTCCGTGAGTAAGATCAAGAAGACCGTCGTAGCTTCAAAACACATCAGTGGTTGCGCAAAGCTGAAAGGAACGACTGACTAGTCCTGAATGGAGCTCGGTACGACTAAGCACGAAAAATATGATTACCGCACCTTGTCATGGTCTGAGAATATATGTGAGTTCACTGCAGTCACGCAAAGAGATAGGCCTCACCTCTGTCAGACGAAAGGTCGACGTGGTCGATCCAGACTTGGTGGGAGTTTTGGACGGCAATCGCGTCACCTAAAGAGTCACGTGTCATTCGTGGATCAACAATGGAAGATGTGTGTCTACCAGCGTCAGCGAGAACCTTGGAGATTTTGACGTTGCGGACAATGACGTTGGAGACATCCAAGATCTTGGACGAAACTAAGCTACGATCAGAACAGTAGTTGACAACTTACGCGGAGGCCAACACCGACGAGCGCTAATGCAGATAAATTGGTGGCTCTCGCATAAAAAGAACAAACGCACAAGAGCCGCTCTTTCCAATAATGCTGGTGTTGGGGCCAACTTTGACGACGGTGTTGCCCGTGATGGTCCCAGAAATAAAAACGATCTTCTTCGCGCTTCCCGAAACAGCAGATGTCACTGTTCCAAAGTTGAATTTCGATAACAAAGACGACAGAAATGAGACAATCATACATGCGGACAGGCTGGAAACTGTGGTCTGGCTGCCGCCCGAGCCACCCGAGGTACTTTTGGAGCGTAAGCATTCGCAGGAGCCAGAAACTGATGGAAACCGACCCTCCATTGAGCGTCGCTGTATCGCTTCAGTACGCTGATAGTCACTATGAAAGAGCTCACCGTAGCCGAGAGTAGCGACGTCGTTGGCCGACGCACGTTTGGCGAGTTCTGGGGTGGGGTTGGCCTATTTTAGCGTCAGAAAGAGCAACTTGAATGGACCAGCACAGTAAATCGTACCGAGACGACTTGAACTGCGACGAGAGCGATAAGAGAGTAAAGCCACTTCATTGCTGCTGCTGCTGCTGTGTGCTGAAGTAAACGGAGCGAACGACGTTGTCTTTTATACTGTGGTATCCCGTCTGAACGCGGTACAGCTTCGGAATCGAGGTAGTGGTCCAATGTACCGTAACGGGCCGCCCGGACCTACGGGAGGCTCGGATGTGGCTGAGGAGCATGGCTGTGTGTTGTTTCGCCTTCTAATTCGTTCTTTGCGAAAGATGGTGTTGGTTTGAGGAATTTTTTGGAGAGTAAACTGGAAAGACGGTTTTTCCGGTTGAACGTCTCGGATAATAGAGACAGAGTGGTGCACTATCCTGGTCATATACTGGCGCATTTTTTGGGGTGGAAATAGGCTCGCAAAGGAAATTGCGGTCAGTCTTCAAACGATCACAAGACCGTGACTCCACTTGAGAAAAAAGGCATGCCAAGCCCGAAACCTTGTGACCGACCCCACCTCTCAATGTGGGGCGACAACGGGGTTTCCCGACATGTTGCCGTGGGGGTACAGGCGTCGTCTGGCTGACCAACACTTCGGAGAATCTCTCGCTGCGACTGCTTGACCAGGTGCTCAAATGTCTGATTCGTGATTTTGCGACTGAATCGAAACAAAGTTGCAACTGGGTCACTTGGTCCCCGGATACGTCTCCCAGCCAACCTCCACAAGTTTGTCAACTTTGCCAAGCACTTCTGCCTCGAGCTTCTTAAGATATCCATCCATTGCCTCGATGAGTAGGGGGTTACCCGCCGCCAGAATGCGGACCGCCAGCAGTCCGGCGTTGGTCCCGTTGTTGATGGCCACAGTCGCAACGGGAATACCGCGCTGAAAACGTGCTGTGAGCAAGTCAAATAATGACAGTGGAAATGACGAACTGGCATTTGAACTATGCTATGTAGCGAGTCAACCCCATCAAGCGAGCTCCCCTTGACGGGGACACCGATGACTGGGAGTGCAGTTATTGCTGCCACCATTCCTGGTAAATGGGCCGCACCGCCGGCTCCAGCAATGATAACGCGAAGGCCGCGCGGCGATGCGCTTCGTGCGTATTCGACCAGCCGGTCGGGAGTGCGATGAGCCGAAACAATTGTTAGCTCATATGGAATCTCGAACTGGTCGAGAATACGAGCTGCCGGAAGCATGACAGGTAAATCCGAGTCAGAGCCCATTATGACGCCAACGAGAGGGTAGGCATTGGAGAAACCAGAGCCACGGCTTGGTGGTAAAGGTGCATAGAGGTTGGTCTCCTTGATCGGACTCGAAGGGAGGGCAGAAAGGAGAGTACGCAACCGCAACCGAAGCTCGGCATCAGAGGGGGCCACGACTGTGATATGACCCATTTTTCGCCCTTTGCGACATTCGGACTTGCCGTAGAGATGTGTTGAGGCTCCAGGAACAGTTAAGGCGACGTCGGTAAGAGCTCTAATCTCGCTCATTGACGAGGATTGACCGATGATGTTGAGCATAGCACAGGACGGAACTTTCAAGTCCGTTGAGCCCAGAGGAAGAGAGAGGATTGCACGGAGATGGTTTTCGTATTGGGAGGTTTCGCAGGCTTCGATGGTATAGTGACCTGAGTTATGAGGTCTGGGTGCGATCTCGTTTATGTACAGGGTGCCTGAAACAGTTTTAGGAAGGGAAATATAAGAAACTAAAGACCTACCGTCTTGCAGGAGGAACATTTCTACGCCGAATACACCAGCACCGGTGAAAGTCTTGATTGCGTTCATCGCCACTGACTGTGCTCTCCGCGTCAGAGTTGCGTCTCGAGATCGTAAGGGAGCAAAGACAAGATGGCATATGCTCTCTTTGTGGACTGTCTCCACCACAGGGTATGCCCTAACCTCCCCACTGGTGCTCCGTACAACCATAACGGCAAGTTCATGCGTAAACGGCACCCATTTTTCAGCATAAAGGGGACGATTGCCTAATGCAGTCAACGCCTCCTGTGCTTGAGACAAGTCCTTGAGCACGAAGTTGCCACGTCCATCATACGCAAGTGTACGACTTTTAAGCATTAGAGGAAGTCCAAGGGTATTGATGGCAGCTTCTATGGACTCCACTGTTGATTCCACAACAACGAACTCCGACACCGGACAGCCATGCGATTTGAGATGGTTTTTCTGGCCATATTTGTCTTGAATTAGCTTGATAGTGGTCGGACTAGGATGAGTGACGCATCCAGCGAGTTCTAACGCATCGGCATCGACATGTTCGATCTCCACGGTGAGAACATCAACCTTTTGTGCCAGGTCTTTGATTTTATCGGGGTCAGAAAAAGAGCCATCGATATGTGCGTGTTGAGAAGAGGAAGGCGCAATAATTTGCTTGGCCGGCGCGTGTTCTCCGACATCAAGGACGACAGTCTTTATGTTGAGTAAAGACGCAGATGCGGCAAGCATTCGACCCAGCTGACCGCCGCCTATTGAATGCTTGGAAATGGTCGAATCTCGTCGTGGAAGCTACACTATCTCAGCAAATCGAGGCCCAATTGTAAGGAGAGTATCACATACTCTTACCAAGGATTCCAACCACCTTATCGCTCATGATGATGGTGTCGGTGAGCAAATTATGTGTGTGTGTGACCACAGTGACTGGCACGTGACTTTAGATTTTCACAATGCCACCTGCACCTCGCAAACGAACGCGAAAGCGCAAAAGACGCGCCCTTTCCGTATCCTCGTCATCTTCCTCCTCCTCTTCAGATTCAGATGCGCCTGCGACCGCTAAGGCGTTGCCTGAACCAAAAGCAGCGATTCCTTTGCCTTCAGACGACAGTTCCAGCTCAGAATCTTCTTCGAGCTCATCCGATTCGGATTCCGAACCCGAGCAAAACCTAGAGAGTATCACTGCTAATACTTCCGGCAAATCAGCTCCACCCGCTGCTAGGCCTCCTCCAAATCGACGTGATTCTCCCTCTCCACCACCGCCTTCACCCACACTTCCCTCTTTCCTGCCCCCAAAGGATGCAGCAGAATTCGAAAATACCGAACAGGAAATGAAGGAGAAATTCAGAAAGTTTTGGATGGCCTCCGTAGCAGACGGATTCAAGGAGGATTTGGAGCAAATTCGGGTTAAGGTGTGTCCGTCCAATATACCGCCTTATGCTCACCTAAATAATCCTTCTTCAGGAGCCCAATCTTGGACAGTCCCGCCTTGCCATGTTAATCGACTCCTTAGCATCCGGTGCGGATGTGTTTTCGTCGACAACGCAAAGAGACGGTGTGAATGAGATGCAAGTTGTTTTAGACTAAAAGTGTGTATTTCTGTGCTACCTACTACCAAGCCCTCCGATCCGAATATCCTCCCAACTAGAGTCTTCGGCTGCTACCACTCGTATTCGGTTACCTTTCTAATATGAAGTCTACACCATTCATCGACCCTTCATGGACCCCACCATCGTCCGTATCGTCGTCCTTTCTGGCCTCTGGCTTGTTTGGACTTTTGTCCTCATCGCCATTCTGCTGTCTTTCGTGTTTTGCGCGCAAACAGTCCGTCGCAGATTCAATACCACACAACTTCTGGGACCTGCGCGTAACAACGATGATTTGGACCCTATCGGTTGTAAAGCAAAATATGGGCCTGTTTACTCCGTTCCGAGGACGTTATTCGAGCGTACGATTGTGTTGAATGATGCTTCTGGCATAGGTATGATTTTGTACCGTGAGGGCCCAAACTTATCAACGCCCACATAGAACATTTTTACGCTCAGACACCCACTGTTTATCGGTTGACAACTGCGACAAGACGCTGGACGGGGAACATAGTGGGCGAAGGACTGACCTGGGTTGACGGGGCACAACATGAAGCGTTTGTCTCTCCTTACTTGGATGCTTATGCTGACATTCTAATAGCTACCGCAAAGTACTGACTCCACTTTTTGGCGCTAATGCTATCGAGAGTCATGCTCCTACCTTCTCCGCAATGGCCAAGAAGGTCCATCTTGTGTGGGAACAAGCTCTAGTATCTAGACCACGCGGAATGGTCGTTGAAATATCTCATTGGTGCGTGATAGACGCCACAAAAGACTCTCCCAAATTGAATACGTCTCCTTAGGATGAACAGCGTTGTGTTTGCTTTCACGCTTTCCACCAACCGCACAAGACTGAACACCTTTTAGTCTCGACTCTCTCGGCCTAGCCGGCTTTGGTTACGACTTCAACTCGCTCGCTGGAGAGTATTGCCCAACGACTGCAGCATTCTACGTGCTGAGGGCTCCAGTTACAACACTCTCAGACAAGATATTCCGATTTGGACCCCGAACATGGTTTTGGCCGCTGCTTAGACATTGGCCTGGCCATCGCAATCGAATTCTGCGAGAATTCCAGGCGGTGGTGAAGGCCATGGTGGATGTCGTGTTCCTGAAGCAGGTACCAATGACGGATTTGCCAAAACAGTCGTTCATCGATTCTCTGAGTATGTCGGATCATTGTTCTTAGTTCTTCCTAAAATCGTACAGTGAAAACGCTGGCGGAGGACCAGTTGAGACTGTCGCCTTCTGAAGTAGCCACCCAAGTGGTGAGCTCTATAATTGTGTCTCACTCTCTAACTTGATATATTTGGCAGAATACGTGGCTTTTTTCTGGCTTCGAGACAACTGCCGCCAGCTTAACGGTGACTTCGCTTTCCCCTTCCCTACAATGTCGTTGAATCGGGTCCAGTGGGTTTTAATCGAGCTGGCAAAACATCCCCGCATACAAGAGCGCCTTAAAAAAGAGCTGCGGCAACTAGACGAGGCTGAGGTGGCTCGTCAGCCATATCTTCATGCGGTCGTTTATGAAAGCTTACGGCTACATCCTCCCATTGGAATGACGACGCGTGTGGTATGAATTTCTGCCCGTATGATTCCATCCGTTGAGTGCTTTAGGCCATTCGAGACGACGTTATACCTCTCAGTGGTATAGTAATGACAAAAGCGGGAGACTCAGTTAACAGCATCAAAATTGCGAAAGGAACACATGTGAGGGTGCCTATCCGGCCTGTCAATACTAGTAAAGAGCTTTGGGGCCCCGGCGCGGGTGCTTTCGACCCTGAAAGGTGGTGGAATCTCTCGACTCAAGATGAACCAGCCCCTAGTGGGCAGAAGATCAAGCATCTTGCATTTGGAGACGGAAGTAGGGCGTGCATTGGCTCTGGCCTTGCCCTAGCGATGATAAAGGTGACAGCTTTCGATCTCCGAAAGCAAAATTGCTGAACCAGGACAGGTCGTTGTCTTCACTCTCGTTCGGCGGTACACGTTTGCGTTGCCACGCGGTCCACAAACCCCAGTTGAGGCGGTTGGAGAGCCAGTTGCGCGGCCGCAAGTGAAAGTGAGAGGAGGCTCTGGGGGAACAGCAGTCATGATGGTCGTTCGAAAGTGTGAATTCGTAGATGAGCCTGCAACCAGCGTACTCTAAGACAGAAGACATGTTTCTTTATCACTGCACTCTGGACTGCTTCAGAGGCAACCGAAAGTACTCGACAACTAAACACGCAGCTGTTGCCACGTTACGATACGAGCAGATCATTCCCAGGTGTTGCTCTCGACCATCGCATGCTACAACTTCGCGCCGACCGACGCTTGGTGGGAGGCATTTGCGGTGGGTCCAGTGAGTGGTGTGACATCAAGTCACACGTGACACCAACTCTTTTCAAGTTATGTAGTCACAGCCGCGTTTCAAAAATGTTGAGGGCGGAAACGTTAGTGGGAAGAGGCAAAGTTTTTTAACCCATGTTTTCATCATACAAACTGGACCAAAAAGGCAAAGTTTTCGGGGGAGAAGAATTTATTGGACAAAGTAAAATTTACAAATAGGTATTTTGGCGCTACAAATGGCAAGTATTACTACAAATGTTCTTTAGCTACAAAGTCATCTAAAAACATGAGGCTTTTCTACGAGTTTTGAGAACGAGGGAAAATGTATTCTAAAAGGGGAAGTATTCGAATGAGTTTTTCTGCTCAAAAAAGCTCAAGTGTTTTGACTCGTTTTTTGACCCGAATAATGGAAAAAAAAACATCTAAGATTTAGATGCGTTTTTTGACCCGGAGAATGTCGAGTATTTTAATGCGTTTTCCGAACCGGAAAACTTCAGGTGTTTCAATCCATTTTTTGAACCGGAAAACAACAAGTTTTTTGGGCCGAATGTGGTGAAATAAAAACTTAAAGTTTTTCCAAGGGTGGGCGATTTCGCCCCGAGAGCGCCCGAAATCGCGCGAAAAGCGCTTGTATTGCATTTAGTTTTTATATATATATACGCGCCGAACAGGCACATCCATGCCCTCCAGAATCAACGTCATTGCCCTCACCATGCCAACTTGGCCCCCACAAGCAGCAAACCCAAATAGTTCTTGATGTCTTCTGCGGCAGCGTCGACACGGCACCCAGCCTAGCCACGCCGGACGAAACCAAGAATGCGCGATTTTTTCTGAATCGCGCATCAGTGGCGGACCCTGCGGTGAGCCCTACCGGCGTACCAAACCGCTTCGGCGCGGGGACCTCCCAAACAGCCTCCCAGCGGCGCAGACGGCACCGCTCCCACTCCCCCAGCCGCTTCTTTCCACGGGTGGTGTAGCCAATTTTGAAAGCAAGCCGGCCATCATCGAGCACCACCTCCAACGCATAGATCTGCCCGCATTTGTCGTCTTTGACACGCATATAACGTTGGCCGAGGGAGTCAACGCGATCGAAAACGGCTTCTTGGTATTGGGAGTCAAGGAACTCGACTTCGGCTGGGGAACGGGTATGCCGAGAGAACCCGACGCGCGATCAAACGCGAGCGCAGGTCCAGTCGGTGGTAGGTGAAGGCGTTCTCGGAGGATGGCATGAGGTGGTGTGGTAGTGGAGGTGTGACGGCGGGAGCGCGACGAGCGCGAGTGACGATGGTGACGATGGTGACAACGGTGACGATGGGGAGCCAGTAACGCGGAGATGGCGTCGGGCGGACGCGTCGGTCAACGGCGGGAGTGAGGAGCGGATGGGCGGGTGAATCGGGAACGGAGTAACGGCCTGGTGACCGGCTAAGTGAGGCCGGATCCCGAAACGGGCGCGAGTGGGCCGACCGGATGAGCGGGTGTGGACGGCCCGACGGCCCGGTTGCCGGATAAGGCCCGGAGCTTGGCAGGGGTGCTTTTGGCGCGCTGAGCAGCGCTGGAATGGCCATGCCAGCCAATGAGGGGGGCAGAGGGACTGGCTGGCTCGCTGATAATATCCGCGCCAACGAAAAGCATGGCTAGGGGGATTTGCGGGCGGGGGTCTGTCGATTGGTCGGTGGTTTGGGAAGGCCGCCAACGTGAAAAGACATGACCTGAACGGGTTGGTGTTCGTCGGGCGGGCCCGTCTAAGATCCCTAGTATCAGTTAGCATACCATAATACACGCAAATTGAAGCACATACCTGGAGTTTTCATCCCTGACGACGTGGACGAAGTTTTTGCCCGCCTGAACGATTTTTCGTTTAGGTGCAAATTTTTGAGGCCTGACGAGAAAAAAAAAATCGCCCAAGGGCTTCGCCACTGCCGACGCGAAACGCGTCCACGAATGCAGGGTGGTAACGATTTTTCGCCCACATGGACGATTTTTCGCCAACAGGGCGATTTTTCGCCCAAGTGTCCATCTTGAGGCGGGATGGGAAGGGGGAAAAAAGAGGGATGCCGGAGCCACCACCACGACCACTCCCGACGCAGAGCGCGTCCAGGAAGGCGGGGTGGGTGGTGGTTTGTTTTCGTCGATGAGGACGATTTTTCGTCGTCAGGGACGAAGTTTTCGCCCGGGTCTGTATGTCGATGGAGAGGGGATGGAGAGATGGGAAATGTCGGAGCCACCACCGCCACCACTCCTGACGCAGAGCGCATCCAGGAGGGCGGGGTGGTGAGGAAGAGAAGAGAAGGGGTTTGATGTGACATGCTGATGTGACGATCATGATCAAATGAAAATTCCGTCCAGTCAACTCAAGGCTTGGTCTGAAAGGGGTAGAAATATTTGAATAGTAAAGATACTAACATATAAGTGTACACACTACGCATTCCATAATGATACAAAGTTGCTGGGCATATCATACGCTTTTGCGAAACCTCTTCGTGGAGCACGACGTTGATAGTCTTGGAAATCTTGGACGGTGTCGCTGGCGCTGAGAAATCAAAGTAAGTCAGGACGGCGGCGGCATAATGGAAGGTTACATACGAGATCGCGACAAAATCCGCTAAACAGCAGTCATGCTTACTGACAATTGAGGTTGGATACCCGTTTCTGCCCAACTTGACCACAGCCATATCACCCCTCACACCGAGCTGGTTATTTTGCGGGAGTCGAGTGTGATCTTTGTAAAAAACTTTGAAGTAAGTGTATTGCGCGCGTCCGTGGCGAAGGCCGACATCCATTTCGTGGACCCGAGGCTGAACTTCATGCCCGCCAAGGATAGCATCAACAGCCAGCAATTGCCAATTTCGCAGGCCGGGCTGAGCAACGATAGGTGCCGCAACACAGAGCGGACTACGGCGGTCAGTGGAATAAAGCCTGACACGCAGAACACGTTTTCGCTAGATACTTTTCAGTTTCAGGGGAAATTGGGGGCACACAACACACCGTTGATGGCATAGCAATGCGCCCGTGGGCCATTTTGAACAGGAGACGGGACAGAGGAGCGGTGAGGCGAACTCGAAAGGACGAGACGAGCAAGAATTATATATCAAAAAGTTGCATTGTCTAATTGTCTTTGGAAATAACCAGCCGGTGCTGACAAGCAGGGAGAAAATCTTAACGGCATTGAGTACGTCCAAGATACCGCGAGCAGCTGGGCAGACATCATACAGTATATACTGACGCAGAGCGCGTCCAGTATATACTGTATCCCCACCGTAGCGGGTTCCGAAAGCGATAAGCTTGCGAGCGCGACAGTTTTCCTCGCCCACAGAAAGCAATGCCACCCCCCACGACTCCTGACGCAGAGCGCGTCCAGGAAGGTGGGGGACTTGATGGCTGTTACGGGTGGTGGTTCAGAGAGAAGAGAAGTGTGTGACGGTGTGATGAGGTGATGCTGATATCATGATGATCAGACTCAGCGAATGATTTATGAGACAATCGGTGATGAGATTACGGAGATAAGATTACAAGAGATAAGAGTACATGAGAATGCTAACTTCTAGATAAGTTCAGTATTACAGCTCGGTTCTGGCTAAACTCATAGCGTGGCGCAATGCGAAACGACCTGCGAAGGATCAACAGTATCAGTGCGTTCCATCATCTTGGATGAATAAGTAAAAGCAGGAAAATATGGGTGGAAAGGCTCAAAAGGATCCGATTCTCCTTCGAGCAGGGGAAGTTGTGGGCGGATAACAAATGAAGTCGTTTGATCTTTATATATGATCCTTTCGATGCTTCCCACGACTGCGACACTTGAAGGGGTGGGATGATGGACACCGTTGAGTCTGTAGTATGCGCGCTCACCCTCCTTAGCTGGTGGGTTAGAAGTTCCAGCTTCACTACGAGGAGCAAAGGTTCGATCGAATAGGGCTTTGAACTGTTTGATGATTTCTGGACAATCGGGACGTCGAAGCCAGCGACGCAACTTGGCACCTTTGAAATACGACATGACAAGAGTGCGCTCGAGATCTCCTCCGACACGATTATTGGTGTTGATGCGTTGGAGATAACCAATCATCCGCTTGAATGGGAAACACCACCAAGAAGTGACAGGGCCGAAGAGAAGCAGGAAGTTGTAAATATGGAATGCCATGCGAATGTTGGGTCTTTCCACGTATTGACTGGTATGGGGATAGCATACAGCAATGTCTTCGACCCACCGCTGCAGATGTTCTCGATATCTCTCAGCACGTTCCTTGGTCATGGTGTGACGACAAACAAGGAGGACGGCGGCAAATAGTGCCATAGAATGTTGAAGCATTCGAGTAAGACGCGGGGGTATGTTCATCGACAGGACGATCGCCCCAAAGTAAGACAAGGGCAATCGGAAGGTACAAGGTCGACAATGTTCGCCACTCGTCCGCTTTGATGGTACCCGCTGCACTCTCGCCATAGTTGCGAGAGGTACTGTGTTGACCCATAAGGGAGTAGCAGTATCCGCAATAACACTTTGGATGAACTTGAGTTGGTCGCGATTGATTGCCTTCGAGTTGGACAGATTACCATTCCGAGGTTTGGTGCGACGCTGTGAGCTCATTAGCATGCTGCTAAGATAATGCGAATAAATACTTACCCAGGCCATGAGTTTGGCAGCGAAATGAGCCCGTTGTGTGGCGCCTTCAGTATCAACCCCGAGAGTGAAGGCAACAAATCGGAGAGCGGCGATATTGTTGGTCTTGAGAGCTTTTTCCATTGCTGCCTCAGTTACAGAGTGGGTTTCATTGCCTCTGGGCGCGTCAGGTAATTGTTGGTTCTCTGGAGCGTCTTGCAGAGACTGGA